CAGATGACGGTTCGTTATTGATAGCTCTACGACCGTTGGCTCTCGGACTAACAGACTAGTAGAGATGGACGACTTTATCGTTGCCGATGACTCCGATGAAGAAGCCAAGCCATCCAAGAAGCGTAAGAGACCGTCAAATGCAACGACTCGCAAGGCGTCCTCTCTTCCCGCGCCTCCTTCTCCAGTGGAAGACCTGGACTTGGATGTTCCAGACGCCTCCTCAGGCACAGCTCTGAAGTGGACCTATGATCCTGAGAATCTCGAACCCCGCCAGAACCGGGTAATACAAGCTATACCGAAAAGTACCGCAACTCCTGCCAAGCAGAAAGTTCATCTCAGGGAACCTGAAGAGCGCTATCCTTGGCTCGCAAACATTCGGGACATAGATGGACACCCACCAGATCACCCCGACTACGACCCTCGCACTATATATATACCCCCACTGGCTTGGGCAAAGTTTTCTCCTTTTGAGAGACAGTACTGGGAGATCAAGCAAAAATTCTGGGACACAGTTGTCTTTTTCAAGAAAGGCAAATTCTACGAGCTGTATGAGAACGACGCTACCATCGGTCACCAATTATTCGATCTAAAGCTCACGGATCGTGTTAACATGCGGATGGTCGGTGTGCCTGAGATGAGCTTAGATCACTGGGCCAATCAATTCGTGGCCAAAGGTTTCAAGATTGCCCGCGTGGACCAGTCTGAATCTGCACTGGGTAAAGAAATGCGCGAGAGAGACGGAAAGAAGGCTGGCGGAAAAGAAGACAAGATCATAAAGAGAGAATTATCCTGCGTCCTGACGGCTGGCACATTGGTTGAAGGCTCTATGCTGCAGGATGATATGTCCACCTATTGCGTTGCGATCAAGGAAGCCATTATAGACGACCATCCTGCTTTCGGGCTTGCGTTCGTCGACACAGCGACAGGCCAATTCTCTCTGTCAGAATTCGTGGACGATGTTGACATGACCAAGTTCGAGACATTCGTCGCACAAACTCGTCCCCAAGAACTGCTTTTGGAGAAGTCCACGGTTTCTCAGAAGGCTCTGCGCATTTTGAAAAACAACACTGGTCCCACCACGATCTGGAACCACTTGAAGCCTGGAAAAGAGTTTTGGGAGGCAGATATAACTGTGAAGGAGCTCGATGCTAGCGAATACTTTGTCTCCCAAGATGACGATAACTTACAAGCGTGGCCGGAGGCTCTACGAGAGGCTCGAGAGAAGGAACTGGTCATGTCTGCGGTCGGAGCCTTAGTCCAATACCTCAGGGTTCTGAAGCTCGACCGCGATCTGATCACGATAGGAAACTTCTCGTGGTATGACCCTATTAGGAAGGCCTCCAGCTTGGTACTTGATGGTCAAACTCTGATCAACATGGAAATTTTCGCCAACTCATTTGATGGTGGCTCAGAGGGGACACTCTTCCAGCTTCTAAATCGCTGCATCACTCCTTTCGGCAAGCGTATGTTCAAGCAATGGGTTTGTCACCCGTTGATGGATGCAAAGAAGATCAATGCGAGGCTGGACGCCGTTGACGCCCTGAACGCTGATTCAAGCGTTCGAGACCAGTTCTCTTCCCAGCTAACCAAGATGCCTGATCTCGAACGGCTTATCTCCCGTATCCATGCTGCCAACTGCAAAGCGCAAGATTTTGTGCGTGTGCTGGAAGGATTCGAGCAGATTGAATACACAATCACTCTCCTCAAGGATAGTGGTTCTTCGGGAGAAGGAGTCATTGGGCAGCTGATTAGCGGGATGCCCGACTTGAGCTCTTTGCTAGAATATTGGAAAACAGCTTTCGACCGCACTAAGGCGAAGGAAAATGGCATCCTGGTTCCCAAACCAGGTGTTGAGGAAGACTTCGACACCTCCCAAGAGCGTATCGAACAATTGCACCGGGATCTTGACAACCTTCTCAAACGCCAACGCCGTGAGTTGGGGTCCACGGCCATCTGTTATCGTGACAATGGAAAAGAAATTTATCAGCTCGAGGTGCCGATCAAGGTGAAGAATATCCCTAAGACTTGGGACCAGATGTCCGCCACGAAACAGGTGAAGCGTTATTACTTTCCCGAACTGAGGTCTCTCATTCGCAAATTGCAAGAGGCGCAGGAAACACACAGTCAGATCGTCAAGGAAGTCGCTGGTCGATTCTACGCACGATTCGATGAGAACTACACGACATGGCTTGCAGCCGTCCGGATCACCTCACAACTGGATTGTCTGATAAGTTTGGCCAAAGCCTCTTCGTCCCTGGGTTACCCGAGCTGCCGCCCTGTCTTCGTCGAAGACGAACGCAGTGTGCTTGAATTTGAGGAGCTGCGTCACCCATGCCTGCTGTCGTCGGTGGAGGACTTCATTCCCAATGACGTGCGTCTGGGAGGCGAAGCGCCGAATATCAATCTCCTCACTGGTGCTAACGCAGCCGGAAAATCCACGGTTCTCCGAATGGTAAGCACGCAATCATTCGCCAACTTTTTCTAGAGAAGATGGACTAACTGTTTTCGCTTCTCTAGACATGTATCGCTGTTATCATGGCTCAAATCGGCTGTTACCTGCCCTGCCAGTCCGCTCGGTTGACACCTGTTGATCGTATTATGTCTCGTTTGGGCGCGAATGACAACATCTTTGCAGCCCAGTCCACGTTCTTCGTGGAGCTTTCAGAGACGAAGAAGATACTGTCTGAAGCTACACCGAGATCGCTCGTCATTCTGGATGAGCTTGGTCGTGGAACTAGCTCTTATGATGGTGTCGCTGTTGCTCAGGCAGTGCTGCATCACGTCGCCACTCATATTGGGGCAATGGGCTTCTTTGCGACTCACTATCATTCTCTCGCTGCAGAGTTCGATGGTCATCCGGAGATCACGCCCAAACGCATGAAGATCCACGTTGATGATGAGGAAAGACGTATCACTTTCTTGTACAAGTTGGAGGACGGCGTTGCCGAAGGTAGCTTTGGTATGCATTGCGCGTCCATGTGCGGTATTCCAAACAAGGTCATCGAGAGAGCCGAAGTTGCTGCCAAGCAGTGGGAGCACACAAGTCGTCTCAAGGAAAGCCTCGAGCGCCGGAAGGGCGGCGGGTTCGTTGGCTTGGGATGGTGGAGTGACGTCGCCTGGGCTCTTCGCGAGACCCCTGCTGACACTCCTAGCAGCGAGAGCGTCTCCGACTTGAGCCTTGAGGTACTCCGCAAAGCTATCGAAGCACTTTGAGCTATCGAAGTGGAGATCATCGGTAAGGTCCACATGGACTTCTCGTTTCCGCTGTCAACTGATTCTTGTCATTTGCTTTTGGGAGTGGGAGTATGGCGCTGGAGTTATTCTTACTGCATGACTGCGAAAGATCCACAGATGAGGTCAGGGAGCATTTCGGGATATATATCACTCAATACTAGAGAATCATAGACCATGATTCAAAAATGGTTTCGACTGATGTGCGATTAGTTACGGTATATTTCAAAAAAATATAGCGTCCCGAGATCGAGGACCTTTTCTCTTTATCTCGTCTCTTGAAGGCTCGAGCACTTAAGGACTCATGAAGATAGCATTTAATCAGGAAACAGAACGGCATTGACTATTCGGGGTATCTTGTCATCCAGCTAAGCAGAAGCACCCATCATCCCATAGAAGTCCACCACGGCGTCAACCCCAAGAACTGAATGAACAGCCGTCGATCAAAAGAAAAGCGCGTAAATGAAGAAACAACGATCATAAGCCAATTCCACTCGAGTGTCGTCCTGCCATCAGTCGTTAAGAATCGGAGCACGAATCTATGCAGTGTGATCCTCCGCCTTTATGTCCTGCTGGGCAACATCCAAAGCGTCGAGCTCTGCATCAAGGTCCGCATCGTTCATGACCTCATCAAGTTCAGCTTTGACCGTGGGCTCCGAGTCATCATTGCCTTCCTCCGTGGGTTCATTCTTGATGATGTCTTCCGACTTGGGAGGCTCGGGTTTGACTTCAGAGGCACCGTTTCTGTCATGAAATACCATGAGTTATGTAACCTTAAATCGAAAGAGACGAAGCAGGTGAGCCAAGCAACGTACCCATTCTGGACATTGTCAGCTCCACCCTTAGCAGCCGCTCCCTTCTTCGCAGGCGTCTTTCTCTGCCGCTTGGGCTTGGTAGGCGTTGCAGCTTCCTCGCCATCGCCACCGCCATCCTCCGCAGCTGTAGCAGCGGCAGCCTTCTTACGTTTAGCTTGTCCTTTCTTGGGTGTAGCCGTCGCGGACTTCGAGGACGAGGCTTCGCCGGTAGCAGAAGAGCCATTCTCGGTGCTGTTGTCGGGGTTGAGTTCGGCGAGCTTGCGTTTAGCCTTGTTGAACATGACGTTCGCGGAGCCAGCTGTGTAGCCGCCCTTGCTGGCGAGCTTTTCGTAGTCGATCTAGGTGGTTGTCAGCTTGGTGGCTCGTGTTGTCTAGTAATTCATGGGCCGATGTGTACCTTGTATTGGTCTGTGATGCAGAGAAAGCCTAGGATGATGATCTTGGCTTCGGCGGCGGAGAGGCCCAAGATGCCCTCAGGTTTGGTTTTTGCTGGGGATGCCATGTTTGTTGTTGGAGAGGTAAACGGTCGAGAAAGTACAGAGTTGTTCTGTATGGTGAGGGAAAAAGTATGGAGGCTGGAGGGGAAACAGGAATCGCACGAAGATAAAGGAAGTTGTAGCAGGAGAAGTGAGAGAGGAGAGCGGAAGGAGCAGTAGATATAGTGCCAGTGAGAGGGCCTGTGAGTGGTTTAGAACAGTATGATGGAGAGAAACACAGACTCAGACGCAACACAAGTCAGATAAGAGAAATGTGAGGCGAGGGTGAGAATTGCTTGTGTCGTTGTGTGAATAATGTTGAAGTGAGAGTAGAATCCCAGTCTCCAGGTCCCGCTCTAGTGACCGACATTTGTCTTCTGAGTGTTCCAGAAGTGTGCAAGGAGAATCTTTTAAATTACAGGGAATGTGCTAGGTAGTTTGATTTTATGTGTTGTTTTCTTTTCAGCTTTCGGGTTTTCTAGCTTCGCCTCGGTCGTGGTGAGGTTGGAATCTGCCTGTATACATGCTCCCACAGTTCAGGGTAAAATGTGGAGGACTCCTTCCCTGGTTGACTCTTTTCTGCCGTGTAGAATTGCCTCAATGTCCTACCTGCCCACCAAGGTAGAGGAGCTGGGTTTGTATTTCGAAAGCTCACTGGCCGTAACAAGGCTTTGTCACGAACCAGGTCTCCCAATCGCACCTCAGTCTGCCGCGGGATCGTCGTGAACTTCATAGTATTGATATACAACGTGGCTGTCGGAGGTAAGTTCTTCGCATATTGTAGGGTCTGCTCCCGCGAACGACGAGCAAAGACGGGAAGCGCGAGATGTACAAAGTTCACAAATGGGGCAGAAGTGTAGGCAACGAATAGCATCGGTAACGCGCCACCCACGACCACTATTGAAGGTCAGCTACGCCACTTCGGCTCGAGGAATCTCACAACTTACCAGCTGGTGCTATATACCATGGGTAGTCGTCAGAGAAAAAGGCTGGAGCCACGACAAGGCAAGAAACTCCAAAGAGGAAGATCGTCGTGATACGCAACATGCCCAGGAATATGACCTTTCCCGTCCCGCCATGATAGATCAATATCCGTTCTGGAGGTCCTATAAGCTTGCTTTTAGCATCATGTCTGTTGAGCTTGGTCCAGGGTATCCCGCTACCTCGTCTGATGGCAGTCTTTGCGTGTGTCGTTGGGGAGTTCGTAGAAGCACTGGAGCCTGTCAAGCTGCCATTGTTCTCTTTCGGTTTCGCGGCAGATAATCCATTTCCTTTGAATGCGTTCTGAGTCGTCTTGAGCCGAGTAAATAATCTGCTACTGAGATCTCTCTGCACGGATCGGGGAAGCGCTGCGCGCAATTGTGGGTGGAGGAAGCATTGGATTCTCATCTTGAGAGTCTGTGATATAGACCGTCAATTGATATACACTGGCTAAAGAAGGATAGGAAACCGTCTCACCGACTGCCAGTTTCAATGATTGAACAGAAAATCCAAGGGAATGACGGAATGACTGCGCGGGTGATCTCCGCAACGGGGCCTTATCTAATTATCTAATTTACCGCCGGCCGACTTATGCAGGCCTTCTTAGCGCGGATGGATTGTCCTCCTTGCTTTGTCTCGATTGTTTGCAATTTCCTCGAGCAGATGTCTTCTAGTGCCCAATGTCAGATTTGTGAGAGTATCTGGGCTTCCTGAAGCCAGTAATTCCCGAGTATATCGGAAACAATCCAAGATCGACGATCACTTGCCATGAAAGCCTGCTAGCATCATCCTAAAGTCGCCATGGTTCCGGCTTACGGTGGCCTTGTTCGCTGGGTACTTACGATATGCCTCACCCTGCCATTTCTGCTACTCTCCGCAGGAGCGTACGAGTCGATCTCAGATGAGACCTTGAAAGCCCTGCCACGACCGAATAGCGACTTCGATATCCACAACGGAGCACTCCTGGCGCCAATCCTGCGACCCCGTGTCCCGGGCACCCCCGGCTCCACAGCGGTGCTCAATCATTTTGCGGACTTCTTCCGCACATCTCTACCAAACTGGAAGATCGAATTCCAGAACTCTACATCGAAAACGCCCTTCTCCCATGGCAAGGAGGTTCCGTTCGTCAACTTCATCGCGTCGCGCGATCCTCCCTGGGCCGCGGTGGGTGACGTGGGTAGACTGACGCTCGTCGCACACTACGACAGCAAATACAAACCGGAGGGTTTCATCGGGGCCACCGATAGCGCGGCCCCGTGTGCGATCATCATGCACGCGATGCGCAGCATCGATGCGGCCCTGTCGAAGAAATGGGAGGTTATGCAGGCGCAGGGCCGAACAGATGCAACCCTAGAAGATCAAAAGGGTATACAAGTGCTCTTCCTGGACGGCGAGGAGGCATTCGGTCTCTGGACGGACACCGATTCGCTATATGGCGCTCGCTCTCTCGCCGAGCACTGGGACTCCCAAGTCCACCCGGCCATGTCGGTCTACAAGACTACCCTCTCATCGATCTCGCTCTTTGTGCTGCTCGATCTATTGGGTAGCAAGAACCCCTACATCCAGTCCTACTTTGCGACGACCCACTGGGCCTACCAGAAACTGGCCGCGCTCGAGAAGCGGTTCCGTGATCTGAAGCAATTCAAGTCGTTCTCGGGGGACGCGTCCGAACGGCAGTGGTTCGCTGACGGTGCGAAGAACGAGCATCAGCTGTCCACCGCCCATGGCATACAAGATGACCATATCCCGTTCCTTGCGCGCGGCGTGGAAATTCTACACGTAATCGATGCTTCACCTATGACGGGGTTCCCCAGTGTCTGGCATTCGTTGGATGACGACGGGGAACATCTGGATTTGGACACGGTGGAAGACTGGAGCATGCTCGTTACCGCATTTGCAGCGGAGTGGATGGAACTGGAGGGCTTCATGCCCGGGGCTGAGGCGCAACCCAAGGAAAAGCGATCTCATCCGGAGAGGAAGACTGAATTGTAAGCCTCGGCCATCACGACCTTGTTCTATCACAATTTCTGTTACACAATGTACTATCCATGGATTGCTATTGAATTGAGCCCCGCTGACGTTCAATTGGTCTGCCTAGCAATTAAGGTCGGCGAGTTATACATATGTCAACAGTGCATTCTGTAACTAAGGAGCTTTGGGTGATATTCTATACTCAATCTAACAATTTCGCAGCTGGCCTGCATGAAGGGATACCCACCAGTCAAACTTACTTTTAGAAAAGGTTGCCCAACATGTACCCCGTCATTGCCACAAGGCCCCATGTCGGTTGGAGCACCGTACGCAGAATCGCAGGGCCCGGGCATACCCCTTGTAAGCCCCAGGCAAGACCAAACGCTGCCGCACCAGTCACAAACCGCCAGTCAATATCCGCCACAGTCAATGTAGGCAGTCTCCAGTTATCCGCCAAGGTAGGCTTAGTGGACTCCTCTCCCTCCGGTTCCTCTCCCTTTTTCTGTCCAGGCTTCACGGACAAGTAAGTCGCAAGCGACGGGCCGATTCCGAACAGAATGATGAGCGCAAGCGAAGGATCCCATCGAGAGGGATCAGTAAGCACGGCAAAAAAGCGGAGGACTTTTGCCGGATCAGCCATTCCGGAGATGAACAGTCCCAGACCGAATTGCAACCCGGCCAGGTACGAAAAGATCGTCGTCGACTTCTTCGACCGGTCCAGCACTCGGGGGACAACTACGAAGTTTGTCACGAGTGTTAGAGCGGTGGCGGTGACCATGAACGCGAGCTCCTCGATCGACGGGTACACGGGGGTATAACAGGGGATACCGGACGGGCAGGGCGGAATGGTCTGGCCTCCGTTGACGAAATTCGCGGTCAGCAGGGCGGTAGTGAAGAAAATGGCCGTTGCGATGAGTGAGCGTGGCGACAGGCGCGAAAGACCGCAGAGCATGTGGCCGGATGTGCAGCCGCGGCCATTCTAGTTCAACGTCCTCTGTCAGCAAGAAAGCCCAGGAAAGCAGTCGCGATAGCCATTCACCTTTGTTCCCCAGCCCAGTAGGAGCCCTATGCCAAACGTGGACGCCACGGAAGCCCACGAGTTCGGCGCAGGTGGATACGTTGGTATCAAGGATGGCGCGAACAAATAGATCGGAGCCACGCTGGAGACTAACCCTACGATTATGGGGACATTATCGCAACTGGGATTGAAAACGCATCCGGACAACAAGGACGAAACGCCAAAGACAGCTCCATTGTGTAGAAGGAGGCCTGAGGAACTCTGGAACAGCAGCAAAGCTCCAAGGGAGGTGTGGACGGGCGTGAACATTGCGACCGCTGGCCAGGTTGAATCACTCTAGAATATCGATTGAAATGAGGTTATTCCTCCCATACCACGAATTCAATGGGTTCGTCGAGTCCACGGTGTAGACGTTTGGTTGATCCTCAAGGGTTCACCATGAAGAAGAGCGAATTCACAAAGCTGTCGATGCGCCACAGTCATTTTCCGACATTCTCTGAGATTTGTTCGGCGATTGTGTGCTTCCCCGTGAATGACGATTGTCAATGGTCCCCGAGGAGCTTATTCAGTTTCCAATCCATGGATGAAGGTTGGGGACAGCTCTCCACCGTCCGCAGGTCCCCGAACTGAAGCATAAATGAATAACGATCATCAAGGGGTAGCATTCTGACTTCTAGCTACTTCGAGGACCAAGGAGTTTTAAGGTTTTAATAGTCGATGAGTTCCCGAGAATACGAGAAGTAGGTCCGCTAAAGAGAAGCTTGTAGAAAGCTCAGTCCGAGCACATCTCATTACCGTGAAGGTATATCGGGACTCGGGACTCTTATAGTAAGGTTTGGTCCCCGAACCGGACTTTATTGGAATGGCTTGTCCTCATCGGAATGATCGACATCTCCACCGAGCTTTCTGGCAAGGAAACCTGTGCCTGGGAGAAAGATTGATAAGACTAAGAGCAGAGGAGGTCCGATGCAGGTTGTCTGTTCAGGAAGAGTGTGTGTTAGCTCTCATAATGGATCAATAGTGGTGCATAAGACCGGCAGGAGAGGCGCATATGACAGCCCCCGATACTAATCGCTTACCAACTATAGCCTAATTGTCTGCAAACACTGGTGCATATGTGAAACGGGTTGTATTGATATTACATGGACTCGAAACAAAGGGAAAGAATCTAAACAACTTTATAATGATACGTTAGCAGCCCTCATGTAAGGGTGAAAGGAGAGACCAGTCAAGCCATCTCTCCAATGTCTCCGTTCATGTCACGCATGTTATATACCACGCGGTCTCAAGCTTCAAATGGGAGGGAATTGCTCGTGTCCTTGGTTGGTGTCTCCAGACCAAAGGCCAGACAAAGGATAGGGGGAACCTTCAACGGAAGTCCGCGAAACTTAACGGAGAAAAGGGCTAAACTTACATGGATTACCCGTTCTTTCTTGCTGTAGAAAACATTCCAGTCGAAGCTTCATCACGCATGGGAGCGTCTCTGAATACATGGCAGTGCTTTCTTCATCAAGGTGGTGAACCTCTGGTTGGTTTGGACAAGGTCGGACGATTAGTATAGCGGTTTGGCTCCAACGGTCTAAATGTTAATTATGCCCGCCATGGCTGCTCACCTACTCTCGGGAAAAGGAGGAATAGTACAAGGTCAGCTTTAGTGTACCATAGACATATTTATTTGCACTGGTAATTTGCAGATGTTGTCAAAGCAAGGTGTGAAGGAAAGTGCAATATACCTAATGATGGATGGAGACATAAACAGTATGACTAAGCAATGCATAACACCGATGATCATCATCTCGTCCCTGACGTTGTCATCTCTTTTCCACTCATGATTATTGACAAGCGTAGATGTCGACAGAGTACTTGAAGAATATGTGGCCCATGCAATACCAGCTACAAACGCTCATGTGATGAATTTCCAGATACCCCACGAGCAGTCCCGCTCCCCTTCGTATCTGACAGCATCATGAAGCGCAGTTTGAACGGGGAACAGAAACAACCACAGTCCTGTTCGACTAGCGATCAGGTTCTCGAGGATAGGAAACCATTACTGTCAACGCTAGATGCGCCTGTATCGCCACCTAGAAGAAGAAGTCGGGTCAAGAAAGCTTCAGATGATCAGCCTGCACCTTCAGTCTCGTCCGCGAAGGAAACAAATGGTGGAGACTCAAAACCCCCCAGTTCTGAACCAAGCCTTGCAGCCATCGAAGCTGGCGCAATAGAGGTGGCAGACCACCTCAAGGTCTTTTCCTCCAGACTTGCGAGGTGTGCTCGTCCGGTATCACCCCAAGTGCCTCGGCTGCCGATCAGAGACTGGGTGGACCTGTACGAACGAAACCTGCATCCAAACGGCCGACACTTTGTGATTCATCAACATGATCACCCCATCGCAGGACCGCACTATGACCTGCGGCTGCAGTTTTCGGAGACAAGCTCTGTCAGCTGGTCGATCATGTACGGATTACCCGGTGATCCCAACAGTCGGCGGTTGAACCGGAATGCGACTGAAACGCGGGTGCATTGTTTCTGGGTATGTTGCCTCGTGGCCCATGGTCTTTAGTGACGCATGTTCCCTTTACATTAATCTGACAGCCATTGAACCTACAGAACCACCTAATTGAGGCAGCATCTGCAAACACAGGTAGCATGATCATTTGGGACACGGGGGAGTATGAGATCCTTCCCTCCCAGTCCCAGCCAGAAATGGCCGAAACGGACGATTCCCGGTCAGAACTCTCTGACGCGTCACTTCATTCCCCTGTTCTTAAAAAGACTGACAGTGAGAAGCTACGCGAGGCTTTTCGCAACGTACGTGATATGTCCCTACCTCAGCCCTGACGACGACTGAGCCATGCTGATAACGAACAGAACAAAATCCGGCTCCGACTCCATGGAACCCGTCTTCCAGAGAACTACACCATCATCCTCCGACTAGACAAGAATTTTGAATTTGCAAAGCCGTCTACCCGAATTCCCCGGAAGAGACGTAGACGGACTATCCGTTCATCAACCACCCGTCCAGAGCCTAGCACCTCCTCAGACTCTGACATTTCAGACGGGGAATCTCACAATCAATCTGCAGGCGCAGATGGAGACACCATGGCCTCCCACTCCGAATCCGAAAGCGCTATAGACCATCAGATTCGGGTGAATAATGCGTACCCCGGTTCCACAAACACGATCGGCTCGATCCACCAGCGACGATGGTTTGCCACGCTGGATCGCGTGAACTCCGGCTTTGTCCCTGAGCATGCTAAAGCTAAAGCTGGGTCAGGGAAAAAGAGATGGGTGCGCAAGCGGAATGTGCGGACTGGACAGCAGCTAGGGTTCGAGCCGTTCTATGTTCGCGGGCCTGACGTTGAGCGGAGCGTGGTCACGGGGAGGCTGGGGAAAGATGTATTGGAGGATGAAGGTGTGAAAGACTTTGTGCCGAGACGGGGGTGGAGGGCGGTTGTCGAGTAGGATTTCCCTGGGCCCATCGACCTACAATTGAATGGATTCTGGGACAAAGCATTTCATTCCTGCTGATCGAGACTTATCCGGACTACATGAAACGATCATCCAACAAAGACCTGCACAAGGACCTCATTGCTCCATCCACTATCCAGCCCCATTGCTTTCCACGCTGCCTGAACATCAACCGCCAGAACCTTAGCATGAGCACCTCCCTCCTTCCAAACCGTCTTTCTTGGCACAGCCCGACCACGGATAGTGACCATGAAGTTTCGAGCAATACTCCAATCCTGCAGGTCAGAAAAATAAATACCCAGAGTCCCCAAAGCTTTGAGGCTGACGTCGAAACGCAGTCGCCCGTTCTCCGCCATGATGATATCACTGTTCGCCACGGCGGCTGCGCCAGTCATCTTACCCAGCAAACCCAAGATAGCGACATGGGTGAGCCTGGAGCCGTCCGCGTTGCAGCCCCTACTTCCCCTTAGGGTAAAGGATTTGGTCGGATAGGCCGTGAGAATCTCCCATTCTTTCTGCTCGAGTACGACGGATACGAGGGCCTTGTCGTTGGATGGATGCATCAGGTCGGTGATTTTGCCGCTTGTGTGCGCGCGGATAATGTATTGGCCATCTGAGCCTGAATGAATGCCAGGGAAATCGCGCAAGGGTACGATGCAAGATGATCCCGCGGCGTGGATGTTGAAGAGTCCCAGAATGCCGCTGCCTGTCTTGGCCCACCCGGTGTACGTGCCGATGCGGAGGATGTTGCCTTCGTTGTAATCGTGGTACATATCTAGCGTGCGTCCCACGATGCTGGGTCTGAGGATGACTGTTGATCCATGGATAGTGGGCGCGGTCATCTGGTTGATGACCGGTAGGCCGTGTTTGCCGGGCTCGTCGGTAATGTATATCGGGCCGCCCGAGAGGCAACGTGCAGCTGCATGGAACGAAGCGTAGGGATGGCACGTCTGGAACATGTCCCAGTCCGGCAAGACGTTGAGGTACCGTGTCAAGAGGGCGTTGTGTGCGTTGCAAAATACATGCCATGTATGAGATGCCGGAATCTCCGGGAAGAAGTCATCTGAGTTGCGCAGAGGAATCTGAGGCTTGTTCGTTGGGAGCTGAGAGTGAAAGATGGCTTGCGGGATCATGGACATGCACGAGATTGCCCTTGTACTGAAGTGACGTAGGGAGGAAATGGACCATGCCTCCTGGTAAGCGTTCATAAACCGTCTGCGGTCCTCGGGATTTTTCAGCAGATCAAGGAAGAACTGGGCGTCTGTTTTGACCGAATCCACACCAACCGATGTTAAAAAGCTGTAGAAGTCATCATAAAAGCGCTGAATATCTTCCGGGTCAATGGCCAGCAATGACCCCTTCTCAAAGGCGTGTGCAACGGGCCCTCCTGTGGCCGGGTCCGTAATCTGCACCTCTTTGGTCTTGTACGCTCGGGCAAGCTCCCCGTTGGGCGAAATTCCACCCCAGTATCCAAAGAGGGCATGCCAGACTGCGATATGCTGGATGTTCCGATGCTTCTGGCGGATGGTCTCGATGCCTCGTTTAAATCCCTGCGGGAACGCTTTGGGATCTGCCTCAAACCGCGTCCAAGCCCTCCTGAATTGTGACTCGCCTTCGTTATCGAGAGCCTGCCAATTATCATCTATAATCAGATTTTGAATCTTGATCCCCTGCTCCTTCAAGGAGTCAAGAGCGAAAAGGATTTTTTCTTCGGTCAGATCCTGCCCCAGCCCGTTCCAAGTACAGTAACTTAGGCCATCATACCACTCCGACATCCATTGCGCCTGGGGGTCCTTTTCTACCACCACAATATCGTTGTCGACGGGCGAGGCTGGAGTCGGTGATCGATCAGACAATACCTCTGTAGCGTACGGTCTGACCATTTTCCGAGCTTCGTATATGACAGCGCTCATTGCTACTTCGAAGTCATCGGCGGCAGAAGCAAGAACCTGGAACTTACTTGCTTCAGTGTGATCACTCTTGGCCTTAATCACGACTTCCCCTTTCTCGTTCGAAGCAAGCACAGTGAGGACATCACTAATCCCTGAGACCGCCAGAAGAACCAGATGGGAACCGTCGGTCCGCAGGAAGGAACACAATACGGCATCCTCTGTCAAGCTAAAATTCTTCTTTCCGTGTCTAGGCCCGAGCCATGGGATCCATACACGTACTAGGGCAAAATAACGCGCGATTGATGATGGTTTACCCAGAGCGACTCGCTTGAAGCTCGACTCGCCCTCTTTGGCCGCTTCTACTGACCCCGAAAGGTTCCACAGAAGAGACGCAGGGGCCTCGCTCGTACGCGACTCGACCTCGACCTCCGTCGAGAGATTATCGAAGTACTTGCCAAATCGCTCTCGGCCTGGCGTTGTAGATGCACTTCCATATGTCATCGCGGAAGGACTATAAGACGGTGCCCGAGCGGGATCCGTAGTAACAGATGGAGAAACAGCCGTGTCGAATTGAGAATTCCGCGCCGGAAATACCAGCTCCCCGTCATTGATATGACGTTGTTGGTTCACCCATTGCCATTCTGCCTGTGGAGTGGCTCGAAATCGAGCTGTGAACTGCGCATAGCCCCCGGTGGCGGGCAGAGCGATTTCCTCGGAGAAGACATAGCGACGGTACTTGTAATCTTCCTCGTCCCCGTTCATCAGAGGAGCTACACTGGGCTCACATTTCTTTAGCGGGAGTGCGGTCCATTCGGAGCTACCGAGATTATGCCAAATCTGGGCCTCCCACGGCTGTTCTGGGAATAAGCTGCTTGATTCAATTACCACAGTAAAGCGAAGCTATTGTCCATTAGCTTATTTGATGGTAGCTCTCCCCAAGTTCAAGAAGAATACACAAATCAATGGCAGTAGCTCACTGTATCATCCTTTTCGGATTGCAAGGCCTTCTGTACCCTTGGTATACCAGTTACCTGCCCCAGAGGCGGGTAGCACGTCACACGTGCAAACAGACTCATTTGCGCGGGACGGTAGAAGTGAAGCTGTGATGGCATCTGATGGCGACCCGGACCGATGATGGGCCGAGTCGACGTATTCCTCGTGCTGACCTGCATCTCAAGAGTAGGCCGGGAGGCTCGAGAATATTAAGTCGAGTACGGAGCTAAGAAGTGGAGAAACATCACTACTTTTGCAGTAGCACGGAGTAATGTGAAGAGGACCCATTTCCACGATGGGTGCAAATCAGGAGAAAGGGATGCTGGGCGATCATGGCGTTATGATGCATGATGAGCTGTTGTGCGGCGGTGGCGTGTTGCGGGCAAGATGAGGGGAAGGTGCAGAGCGACGCCCCTCCAGCGTCTGTGGGCGTCCCGGGGGCGTCCGGGGGCGTCCGGGTTTAGAAGTTACCTGTCTGCAATGTAATAGTATAAGAAAATGATATCTTCAGCTTGTGTCGATAAATAGATAAGGAAACTAAAAGTGGAAAGACTACCCGGTGAAAGATGGAGATTGCTGAGATAGCATCATACGTCCATTGACATTAATTTACATCACTATATAGATAGTGCAATGGCTATGGCAGTGCATATGCACTCGACAGTCCATTCAACGTTGTCGTATTCCTCATTAATAGCCTTTAGCATAGTCTGATACGCTCACGTTTAATCAATCTCGATTGCCAGCTTTCCAAGATGCTTTTGAGCCCACTATTGTTCGCCATTAGCACCCATTCTCGATGACCTTCAAGAGAAAGAAGACTCACCATGTATTCATAGGCTTCCTTGGTCTGATCGAGACGGAAAACCTTCTCGTCAACGACTGGGTGGATATCGTTCACCTCAATGGCCTTGATCATATCGTTCATCAAAGCCTTGCTTCCGACGTATACACCCCGAATGGTGCAGATGTGGTTGAGTGCTTCAAGCATGCCAGGCTGACCCTTGGGATCGACTCCTCCGAGGAAACCAATGATGCTGATTGTGCCCTCAAACTTGATGCACTTCAAACTCTGACTGAGAGTTCCGGCGCCTCCCACTTCGATAATGTGATCGACACCGACGTTGTCGGGAGTCATAGAGCGAGCAATTTCGCCCCAGTTGGGGTTGGTCTTGTAGTTGATGATATGGTCCGCTCCAAGTTCCTTGAGCTTCTTTGCCTTCGTATCAGAGGAGGTCGTAGCAATAACAGTAGCTCCAGCTGCTTTAGCGAACTATTCCGGGAATATTGTCAGCTTGTCGCATGTTCCTTGCTCAAGCATGCCGCCAAAATCAGCTTGAAGACGTACCTGCAGGGCAAACATGCTAACACCGCCCGTTCCTTGTACCAGAACAATCTCACCCGGCTTAAGAGCGTTCATACCATACAGAGCATTCCAGCTGGTGAGAGCAGCGCACGTAAGGGTACTCGACTCGAGGAAGTTTAGATTCCTGGGAGCCCTGACCAGGCCATTTTCGTTGAAAACACCGTATTGGCGCAGAGTACCATCAAGGACACCACCGAGACCGGATTTGGTGCTCCGCGTGTCGACAGGACCGTACTGGTGGAACTGATTGAACAAGGTCACGACCTTGTCGCCCTTCTTGAACTGGGTCACTTTCGACCCGACCTCAACGACCTCGCCGGCGCCATCGGAACCGGGGACAACGGGGAAATTGATAGGGAAGGGATACATCCCCTATAGAGGCATCAGAAAGGTGCGCGACAAAAGGCTGATTTGCTCATGCCGTCTCGAGCGTAGCTGAAGTGACGCACCTTGGGGATGATCAGGTCACGATAGTTGAGCGACGCAGCGCGTAGCTTAACGAGGACCTCATTTTCACCGCACTTGGGCACAGGACATTCCTTAAAATTAAGGCTGTCAAAACCATTCTCCTTATCCACAACAACCCACTGCTTCATAGTTGAGGGAGCCATTTTCCGTATTTAAGACGTCGGGTTCTCAGGATGGTCAATTGAAGGGATATCGCGATCGAAATTAGGCTGTTAGCTAGAAATGTACCCATCAGGGAGGCCCAAGCAGATATATAATCTTAACTCAAGATCTCGACCTTTAGTTCTTGACGTAAGGAAGAGCTCCACCTGCTATGACGGCACGCTGATAACTCTCCGATTCGGGCCATCTTTAACGGTGCCGAGGGATATCCGAAATATTTGGGTTTAGTCGACGAGCAAATCATCAATGCTTGTGAGAATCCTCCGTTTAATCTGCTTATAAATGCGGCCCATCTGTGCTCAGTCTGCTGGAGATAGTTTGGGCAACAACTGCCGGACGTCTCCTAAAGTAGTGTTGTGGTTCAAGCTGCTCAAGGGATAAAGTGGATGTGGATACCTGCAAACACCGAGTCTCCAATGGCCGGCAGTTGCACCTGAAGAGATACCTTTCTAATTGTTCATTCGATTAATAATCATCAACGCTGAGGTTGAGCAGTAGAAGGGTGGATGTAGGATCCTCTTCATCGTGCGCTACTATTTGTCCGGCCTTTTTACTACGATGGGTAACGAAGAGACGTCCCGAAACTGGATTCATCTAGAAGTCTGTCTCCACTCAGGCAAATCCACGAACCGATAGTCAAATTGCCAGGCCCGTTGTTTTGGTTTCAGAATCAGATAGAATAATCCATCACTCAGCATGCTGTTAAGGCCAATATCGAGTACTAAGCCTTCTAGACAAAGAAAACCAGACTTCTTGTTCAGGACTTCTCCACGTAGCTTGTATGGCTCGTACGGTCGTACGCACGGCTGTACTTTCTCACGAATGTTACCCACCTTCAAGGTCACTCACATTGTTCCTCATAACTGCCCGGCTTGTAGGGGGTAAATCTGTGTTTCGGAGAGTCTGACTTTGCCAAGGAGGAGCTGAAGCCGGGCTCAAAGTAATCAGCGCGAGCACAGGGCAGGAGCGGCTTCAGAAAGATCGTGAAAAGAAGGCTGAAGTCGAAGTTGATTGACAATGTACGCCGCATAATGGGCCAGGCAGTCCACGAGACTGTCGTTCAGCGGGATCTTGAGGAATGCGACTCGCAAGGAAGCGATAACTGCACGTTGTGTTGATTGAGTGTTTGGGGTCTGTTGATATCCAGAAAGCATGCAGTGAGCTTTTTCATAGACCAACTGCTTTGGTTCAGCTTTGAGGTATGCGTCGCTGAAAATATAAAGCCGAGATGGGCCAGCAGAGGATGGTTGTCAAGCTCCACATCCGTGCTTTCGCTCAAATTGGCGGCTGCTGATGATGCATTGTCCTCGTCAGCATCATCGGAGGCTTTGAGCGTAGTCTGCACCAGATCCTTGCTGATCACTGATGCCTGATAGTCGCCTCGATATGCCCACTCAACAAACCGCGCAAGAGTCCCGTCAGTCGTGTCTGAGCAGGTATACACTCCATCCCGGCCCCCCGCAAACCCACTGGTGAATGCTGCATGGAGGATTTTACACTTGGACTCCAGGAGATCTTTGTGAATCTTGGACGTGCACGTTGATCCTGGCGATTTTAAGGTAACCGTATCGGAAGTCAAGAATCTATCTGGCTATTAACAGTTAAACTTGCCAACAAGGGCGAGATACTCACTCGAGACGAGTTGTCTTTCCTCCTCTTTAGACATTTTCCAGCTCAAGTCGAAGACCAACCGACAGTAGGTTAGGTGGGAAGTACAAGAGGAAGTGGATGAGCTTTGGCGCAGAGTAGAGACAGTTGGTGTTCCCTGTACTCTATTCCCTACGCAACGATTGCTTGATAGACCGTCTGCGAGACATCCTGGCTCTATATATACCTGGTTGACAGTTTCTGAGCCGCTATCATAGCCATACAGACCATTGCGTGATATTGTCCAATCTCATGGCACAGGCGATCAAAAGAAAGTGAATAGATATGGGAGTGGATTCAGTAAACAACTCTTCCACGAAAGACCATCTGCTATCAGCGGTCATTGGAAGTAAGGTGTACCTGTTGGTGCATCCATGGGTCTCATGGAGAATAAACATTCATATAGGTGGTTTGGTCTTAGCAATCAAAAGAGAGAGAAAGACTGAAACAACCCCAAAGTCAGAAGTTTGCATTATCTTGGCGGATGCTTGTCAATTGCGGAAGCGAGGAAGATGGTTTCAGAGGAAGGGGCTTCGTTTCAGGGCTCATCATAGCCCAAGTGAGCAGACACATTAGATGACAGAATGAGAGCGCTTTCGTTAAGATCCATTGTTCAGAAATCTGTTGACGGAAAATGTCCTCGTAGAGAATCCACGTAGTCTTATCGCTGAGTGAGATCTACATTGCATAAGGGGTAAAAGTAAAACAGTCAGCAGCCTGGCGTATCCCCTCACTAATTTGACAACCGATCCTTTTCCATACACCTCATCTCTGGGCGACTGCTTGCATACCCTATCTTTCTAGATTTAAAAAACGAATCGATATGTCTCTAGGACGTAAATTCAAGCTCAATTCTGGGTATGAGATCCCCGCTGTTGGTCTAGGAACCTGGGTTAGTAGATGTCCGCGTTCGAGCTATATAAATCACGCCGCTAATAACCTGACAGAGATCCGCGCCTCACGAGGTAGAAGATGCTGTTGCGACGGCACTTCGCGTGGGATACCGGCATATCGACGGTGCTGCTGTCTATTTGAATGAAGCCGAAGTAGGACGGGGATGGAAGAAGTCCGGTGTTCCTCGCGAGGAGATATTTGTTGGTTCCAATCACAATTCGCTCAATTGCGTCCGATAAAGTATCTCATATCATTCTGCAGTTAACGAGCAAGCTGTGGAATACGCACCATCATCCGAGCCATGTCGAAGAAGCGCTCGACAAGACACTCAAGGATCTACAGACGGATTATCTGGACTTGTACCTAGTATGTCCGTTCCACTCTTGACGGATATCTGCTGATAGATGAAAGATCCACTGGCCCATATCATTCGCACATACGAACGACACATTTCAGCCTGTCGACCCGGTCACAAAACGATTCCGTTTAGTGGACATTCCCATCGGGGATACTTGGGCAGCGATGGAGAAGCTAGTCAAGGCTGGCAAGATTCGAAGCATTGGAGTCAGCAATTTCACCATCGAGAAGATAGAGGAACTACTCAAGACAGCAGAGATTCCCCCGACGGTCAACCAGATCGAAGCTCATCCTTATCTCCTTCAGCCCAGATTGTTCCATTACCTGAAAGAGAATGTACGTCCCGCCAATCTCCTACAATGGCATACACATCTTGTTGACTATCTCCCAGAATATTCTGCCGGTTGCTTATAGTCCTCTGGGCAACAATATCTTCGGTGCTCCTCGGTATACTAAATCCTCCTACCACCGCTGACGGAGTGAACTAACCGCCCAACAGTGTTGTCGATGACCCCGCCGTGATCGAAATAGCAAAGAGACTGGGCAAGGATCCTGCAGGATTGCTGATCTCTTGGGCTGTCCAGCGTGGTTCCGCTGCTATTCCAAAAAGTGTCACAGAGAGTCGTATTCAGAGCAATTTCCAAGGTATTATATGCCAACCCGTCCTCAATCTAACCTTATGACTGACCGGAACGTCTCCATCAGACTTCATCATCCCTGATGCAGAGTTCGAAGCTCTCAGCAAACTGGACCGCCATCAACGGTATAGCTATCCGTTCCGCTGGGGTGTGGATGTGTTTGGGGAATTGGGTGCTGAGGAAGCCGAGAGACGCGCGGAGGAGCATGCAGCGAAGCTCAGAGAGAGTGAGAGCGCATAATTTTCGTAGCGGTCAAAGTCCTATAAACGCGGAGTGGCATCTATATAACATGATCTATACTCTAATTGGATAGGTCGGTGCTGGGAGTTTAATACTTCAAATGGGAATGAGTCAGTTGATACGCCTCTTGCAATGAATATCTTCATCTGCGTGCAGAAGTTCCTCTTGGACCATTGTTTAGGGGGGTACTTGCATATTAACCTGATGTGACTGACTCGGCTTGAGTGTCTGTGAGTTACGGAACTTTCCTGATGGAGTTGCGGAGTTGATCACTATTCCTCGCTCTGGATAAGCGCTTGGTTCGAATACGTATATACATCTTCATGCTTGCCGGGCTTCATCTTGGGATGGAATCTATGTTCAATAATGTGACCTCTTGTATTTGCTACGTGCATGAAAGACAAGATGCTCACTGATATTTCCACGCAGCTGTCCCGACTGGATCCCCTCAGTCTGGCTGGGGTGCTACTCATCTCAGGGTTGTTCTTCCTATTGACTCTTCCTCGAAGGTCGTCGATCCCTATGGTCAATGAGAAATCGCTCTCCCAATTTCGGTCCTCGCATGTTCAGAGGCGGTTTTGCAAGATGCGCGCAACTTAATCAAAGCTGGTTTTCGCAAGGTACTTCCCGCATGCAGTTGATGCTTGGATTCAAGAACTAAGTCGCTGGAGGCCCTGCATCTTTCGGGTCCACTCGGACAATTTCATCAAGACCATGCTTGCAGTACTCAAATGAGATTCGCGCTCACCCTGTCTTGAGCTTTGGCCGTGCAATTACTCTGGAGTTCCACTCAGACATTCACGGATTCGAACCTTTCAATCAACTAGCCGGCAGCGATGAGATCTTCCAAGATGCTATTCGAATGAAGCTGGCCCAGAACCTGGGTGAGTTTTAGGATCTTGAAATAACTCCCACGTCATGTACAATCTTCTGATTCCTTGATTGTCAAACAGGAAGTGTGACCAAGCCCCTCTCAGATGAGACATCGATTGTCCTTGAAAAGCACTGGTCCAACGATGCCAGTGAGTTATCATTTCCCTCTGTTTACAAATACTGATCAGGTCAGATTGGCACGAAGTGGCTCTCAAGCCGACCAATCTCAAGATGGTTGCCCAGCTCTTATCAAAAGTCTTCCTTGGGGACAAGATTTGTCGTAACCCAGACTGGCTGCGGATCACTGTCGACTATACCGTGAATACCTTCTTAGCCGCTGAGGATCTCCGGCTCTGGCCCAGATTGATACGCCCTAATATGGCCAACTTCCTGCCATCCTGCCGTAAAATCCGCCGGGAACTGAAGGAAGCGACGAAAATCATAACTCCGGTGCTGGAAGAAAGACGCAGGGACCTAGAAGCAGCAGGAAGGCAAACCAACCACCGAAACGCTATGATAATGCTATGCAGTGGATGGGGGAATGCGCCAAAGGCCGGCCCTATCCCCCTGCGGAAGCGCAAATGGCCTTCTCAATTATTGCCATCCATACGACGCAGACATGCTCACACAGGTCCTCCTCGGCCTTTGCGCTCATGCAGAGGTTATCCAACCGCTTCGCGAGAAAATTGTCACGGTCATCCAGGAAGAGGGATGGAAGAAGCCCGCCTTATATAAGCTTAAACTCATGGACAGTGTGCTGAAGGAAAGTCAGCGCATGAAGCCAGTCAACATCAGTGAGAATTTCTAACCCCTGTCAAGTGTATATATCTCGTGATACTAGAAAAGACTGACTGCGCAAAGCTTCAATGAGACGTCTCGCACTCAAGGATATCAAATTATCGGATGGCACACTCATTCCAAAGGGCTCCTCCCTTCTGGTCTCTAGCCACAAAATGTGGGATCCAGACGTCTACCCAAACCCGGAGACGTTCGATCCCTATCGATTTATGAGACTACGCGAGACTCCCGGCCATGAGACTTCGGCCCAGCTAGTGTCGCCGTCTCCAGAGCATCTCGGATTTGGCTATGGGAAGCACGCTTGTCCAGGACGGTTCTACGCTGCCAACGAGGTCAAGATCGCATTGTGCCATATTCTATTAAAGTATGATTTCAAACTGCCTGATGGCTATACACCGACGGTGCGAACGAGGGGCATCTCGGTCAGTGCTGATCCTTCGGCGAAGCTCGTCATCAGACGGCGACAAGACGAGATTGCTCTCTGAAAGTGGGATTGGGGTTTTTTTATGACGCCTCTGCCAACGTGTGATTTGTGTGCAATAAGATGCACTACCTAGAATGTAAGCGTTTGAGTATGAACTATGTTCTTGTAACACACCAGTCGACATATTGAAAGATGTCCTACATTGATGACAGAAGCTGTTAGTGAAATAAAAAGAATGTTATGATGAAAGTCTAGGCCCGATCTGCTGTCAGCATTTATAAAGGTCAAGATCTGCTGGAAGAATATTCAATTTTCAGCTGGAATCATCACGCTCGAGAAATGGTTGAACTTGGGCCAAGCAAGCATCCCGTAAAGTGTGAATGCAGGAGAGAAAGGGGAGTGACTGAAGCGTCAAACACCAACTGGCGAACATAAACTGATGATTAAGTGAAAACAACCTCAAGGCAGCTAAACACGCCCCAAAACTGCTCGCTCACCAGGAATAATTTTCACATATTTATGATACTTGTTGCCATGAACTCTCATAAATAGATATTGAGAAGTGTGGCAATCACAATGCCAGCCGTCAAAAAAGGCAGAGTGACAAAAACCAAGGCTAAACAGTCATCACGACGAAAATCCACTCGACGTATATTGACAGGAAAGGCAGACCATGATCAGAATAAAAGTGAGTGAGTCATCAAACTGCGGTTATCGATATGCCCATAGATAGCATAGCTGTGGTCCTGGATGAGTCCAACGGCTGGATTCAACTTGTTTCTACCTGCCCCTTTCTGCTATATCACGACCGACGCAACTCCGGTCCATTCTGTCTCATTTGGGGCCATCCCTACACACCAAATTTCACCATTTCACTTGTGCTCTTATTTCAACTTTATTTGAAAGATTCTGCATTGCTAGATATAATTGAATCGAGACGCGTATTGACCTAGTTACAGATCCCAAGCCACTACCTCTGGTAGAGCGCACCAACAGTCTACCAATCGAAGAATTCACCTCGCTATATATCGACCCAGAGCTTCTTGATTACGATTTACTATGGCGTCCAAACGGCAAAGACAGTCCTCATGACCGCAATAAGATTCACATTAAAATGCACTGCACCGTTGACGTCTACTCATCCAGTACGATTCCCGCAGAGGTATTCGAAGTGTGTTTCAAACTCATCGAGCAGACGTCGGCAGACGCTTACAGGGCATCCAGCTCGGGATGGTCTGCGGCCCGCAAGCGAAAAGAGATGCGATTGCCTGATATGAAATATCTTATTCAGCGACGCAGCCTGACAGGTTCACCTGAAGTGACCTTTGCGGACGGCATATCCTTCCAGAGGGGAGAGATACTTGCGTTCCTTTCGTTTATGGTCACGTACGAGGATGGCAAGGAAGTAATTTACTGTTATGAGGTGCACGTGGCCCCGAAGGCTCAGGGCCAGGGAATTGGACTGCGTCTGATGATGTTGTTGCGATCAATCGGGGTCAAGATTGGCCTGGAGAAGGCTATGTTGACTTGCTTTCGGTCTAATCATCGCGCATTGCGGTTTTACAAGTCGATTGGTTACAAGGTGGATGAGAACTCCCCCAGGTCGATTCGGTTACGGACAGGAGAAGTGGAGCCTGACTACTATATCATGTCTGAATCCCTGAAACAGAAGTCGTCGCATGAGAATGACGAGGGTTGAAATACCTTTCCAAGTTTGATACCTGAAAGGTCTAAGAGATATAGACTAGAAGCCAGAGGAATTTAAGTTGGACTTCCTGTTAGTCTCAAAGATGAATGCGCATGATACCATAATCTAGACCTGTCTAACATCTTTGCCGCGCATTTCTGGATTCTCCTGCTCCCACTCGTCTCTGAGAGCAGCAAAGATCGTGTCAGCCAAAAGGATGGAGAGTCCCAGACTCCAGACTAGTGTGATCGCATAGAAGAAGTTGGCATTGCCAGATCCAGCGTAGATCCATAAATAGTAGAATGCGGGGCCCAGAAGGGTGGCGTACAGAAGAGCCGAAATGGCAAAAAAAGTGTAGCGCATCACTGTTTGTTGTTAGCAGAAGCAAACCGCCAAGGGGGCACTGGCAAAACTCACAGGGGAACAAATGCCGGTAAAGAGGGAGAAGGGCAAAGTACAAGGAGGCATCCGAGATACTAGGATACGGCTTGAAGATGGCGAAGATGCCCATAAGGGAAGTCAGAATGAAAAGAGGCTGCTTGCGCAATCGAACGGTGAGACCACCGACATAGCCCGTTAGATGGAGCCAGAAGACGCCAAGGAAGAACTCTCGGAAGGAATCAAAGATTTCGATGAAGAAATACCACCAGAGGCCAATGTTAGGAGTCAGGTCGGGGACAAGCAATTGGAACCCGTATGTTGCAGAGATAAACTGCCGAAAGTCTGGGACGACTAAATAAGATAGGCCAAGAAGCCCTCCGACGCCGAGTAAAAGTATGCCAAAGTGTTGGATGGAGAAGATTGCAACTCCAGATGGAGGCTTCGCGCCTTGAGCACGGCGATCGTAACACAAAAGCACGAGCGGAACAAACAGGAGGCCCGGGTAGATTGACAAATATGACGCGCATCCTAGAGCGAGCATGGCATTGAAGCTATTCCCAGTGACGGCATTGGACAGAGCATAAAGGATTGCGGTCGAAGTGAAGGCGCTCGTGGATCGGCCCAGACAGGCGGCAATGGTGAAGGGGTTGAAAAGGTACCTGTTATGGGTCAGGAGCATAGCCATGCGGGAAGTCGCAGAGTGTAATTACCATGCTGCCACATCTACCCCACCCCACTTGATATCCTTTCGCAACGCTGTATACAATCTTCCCGATATCGCCTGGTTGGAGTCGGATATGGTGACCAAGGCATTGGCATTAACAAGGTCAATCAGAGCATAAAAGACGGCTGTCGCTAACGGATAGTCTCTAGCATTCGGTAGTAAGGCGAATATAGGGAGAAGAAGCGGCGCCTAACCCGTGGTATCGCGACTTAGTAAAGACCAAAGAGAACGGATCCGGGACTCCATACCTGGTGGAAGACGCCTCCGTCGTAAGGGGAAACATTCCGGGTGTAAAGAAAAAGGCCTTCTTGAACTGGAAATAGAGATGTCAGCCTGAGTGTTCCAAAAACACTGGGAAAATTCTCGTATAAGACTCACGTCTTTTGAAACTGTTCACCGGTGTAGAGACCTCGACTCTGCCCGTCAGCAGGTCCGGCAGCGAGGGGAACAGGAGCAAGAGGAGAAGTCGCAACACGAAAGCACCGCCAAACACGGCGACTTTCCGTCGATCGACCGGCATGATGTGTTCAAAAAGAAGGTGAAGATTGCAGCATAGCAACTATCAATAATTGACCATCACTGTCTGGCTTTCAGTCAGTGCCTCACTGTGGCTCTACTCCGTAGGCTTTGTATTGCTCCAGCTGTCCTTCGGCCTGGCGCGCCAAGACTCCGCGCATTACCCTTTTCCGCAGCGCACGGGCCAACCAAGCTTGTGATTGGAGAAAAAAAAGGAAAAGAGGGAAAAAGAGTTATCAAGAAATTTTTCCGGTTATCAGAAAAAAAGTCTCCCCATCAACAACTTCTCGCTCAACAGCCGTACACCGCAAAGATGGGTAAAATCAAGAAGAAGGGTATGCTTATCGATCCAAATTCATTGCGTTCTTGAGATTTATTTAACATTTTTTTCAGGTACCTCTGGTCAGGCCAAAAACTACATTACCAGAACTCAGGCAGTTCGCAAGCTTCAGATCTCTCTGCCTGACTTCCGTCGTCTTTGTATCTTCAAGGGTATGTTCAGAGAATCTGATTCTTATTTCTCTTCTCTATATGTGGTGGCTTCGATCCTAATCGGATTATTTCAACGTATTAGGTATCTATCCTCGTGAGCCTCGGAACAAGAAGAAGGCCTCGAAAACATCGACACCGAACACCACCTTCTACTACACCAAGGACATCCAATATCTTCTCCATGAACCCCTCCTCAGGAAATTTCGGGAGCAGAAGGCCGTTGCGAAGAAGATTGCACGATCTCTTGGACGCGGAGAAGTCGGCGATGCAGCTCGGTTGGAGAGGAACCATGCCCCCAAGCTCACATTGGACCATGTCATCAAGGAGCGCTATCCGACTTTCATTGACGCCTTGAGAGATCTGGATGATGCCCTGTCACTTCTTTTCCTCTTTGCCAACCTCCCCTCAACCGCTCACGTTCCTCCTAAGACTATTGCCCTCTGCCAACGGCTGTGTCACGAGTTTCAGCATTACTTGATCACGACCAACTCTCTGCGCAAATCTTTTCTTTCGATCAAGGGTATCTACTACCAAGCTACTATCCAAGGACAGGACATTATGTGGCTGGTTCCCTACCGATTTGTGCAGCGCGTCAACGGCGACGTCGATTACCGTATCATGGCCACATTTGTTGACTTCTACACCACTCTGCTCGGATTCGTGAACTTCCGGTTGTATTCGTCGATTGGCCTGAGATATCCTCCCAAGTTTGACACAAGAAGTGACGAAAATGGGGCGGAATTGGCGGCTTTCACTCTCGAGGGCCGGGGAGTCGGCGATGCCCCGAAGGCCATCGAGACTGGTAACACACAAGCAACCACCTCCACTAACAAGGAGGTCTCGAAGGAAATCCAGGCGAAGGTCGACAACGTGATCAAATCAGCAGGACTGGATGAGGCAAAGGAGGAGCCGGCGGCCGAGACGACCGAGGAATCTAGCGAAACGATCGACAAGTTCGAGCCCGCAGCCCCAGAAGCCGATACACTTCCCCAACCCGACCTGAGTGGAAGCGAGGCCGGATCGCTTTTCGCCCCATTCACATTCTACATTTCACGCGAGGCACCCAGAGCTCCCCTTGAGTTCATTCTGCGGGCTTTCGGCTGCAAGCGCATCGGCTGGGATGCCGTGCTCGGTGATGGTGCTTTCACGCACGACGAGACAGATACTCGCATTACTCACCAGATTGTCGACCGACCTCAACTGCCCGAGTCCTCTCTACCAGCTATTCCTGCTGCCTCAAAAGACGGTTCTGACGCCGTTCAGAAGGTGAAGCCCGGTACTCGGATTCCTGGTCGAACCTACGTCCAGCCTCAGTGGGTCTGGGATTGCATCAATGAGGGCAAGCTTGTTCGTCCGGATTTGTATGCACCCGGTGCCACTCTCCCGCCTCACTTGAGCCCTTGGGTCAAGCCTTCAAGAGGCGGCTACGATCCTAAAGCCAGCCTGGCCGAGCAGGAAGAAGAAGGGGAGGCCGAGTTAGACGAGGACAGTGACGAGGAGATGGAAGAAGCGTCCAACGATAAGAAGGCCGAAGCTAAGGCAGATGTTGGATCGGACAGTGATAACGAGGACGACGAGTCTGTCGACGGTGGCATGGATGTTGCCGGTACCGATGATGACGAGAGCGAAAGTGAAGAGGAAGAGGAAGACTTTGGTGGATTTGAAGAAGAAGAGGCTGCTTCTGAATCAGAGGACGAAGAGGAAGCGGCTCGCACGCAGCACCAGAAGGAACTCGAGGCTGAGGCTGCTGGTCTTCCCTTCTCTTCCAACGGTGCTACTAGCGATGCATCCAAGAAGAAGTCTTCCCAGGCTAAGAAGATCGCTGCCAAGAAGCGCAAGGAGGAGGAAGAGCTGGAGAGACAGAAGATGATGATGAGCCGTAAGAAGCGCAAGTTGCTTGAGAAGATGGTCTACTCGAACAAGAAACAGTCCGAGGAAGCGGCGAAGCTGCGGTCAAAGAGGAGAAAGCTTGAGAAGGAGGCGGCAAAATGAGTTCATATAGATAAAAGTTAGCAGCATGCTTTTGGCGACAAGATGATATCCTTTCTGGAACCTGGGGACATTCAATCTTCTGGCGTCATTCCTTGGCTTTGTACTAATTTCAGCATATAAACATCGTATATTAAGATTCCTCCACGTTCTTGCACCAACCGTGTATATTCTCAACTATACGCAGCAGGTTTGCTGAAAGCTCGATGCTGGAACCTGAGGCTGTAGCTGTTCGCACGTCACGTGATATCTTTTTCTTTTTCTGGTTCTCGTCTGGATGCGATTCCTACATGTAATCAAAACTCATAAGGCTCGAGGTTTCTCGCAAGAAAACTATGTTTTGAAGCCAGGTCCGCTGATATTCCACTTCTGAATACCTGTTTTGGCAACTTTCTATCTAACGCCTCTGAATGAGGTCATGATCGTTCCGCCAGCTGCAACGACGCACTTCTGATTTTGGCCATACGATGTTAGAAGACGGGCAATTTTCATCAGATTACTTCCACGCCACGTATAAGTGATCTACCAGTCGCTAAGTTTCGGCTACTTAGAGGTGTATGACACTCTTTGACCGAAAAGAATGTCCTCTGTCTTTGGAAGCCAGCCCTCCCGCTTCAGTCCTCCTCAATCTGCACAACCGTACAGATCGATATTCGGAGGTCCAAGTAGCCAAGATGTGGCAGAGCTGGAACCGTACCCCGAGACACAGCAGTCCGGAAATCGCTTGAGTCAACATGATTCCGACGTTGACATGGAAGAGGTCCCATTGACTGAAAACGATCACTCAGATGATGAGACATATGTCGAAAGTGAGGACGACGGATCTGTGTCCGACGATGAGGCCAGCAATGATGGTGATTCGTACAAGTCATCGACGAAGAAGGCCGCGATAATGCCTCCTAGCAAGCACCACCCTGACAGTCCGCCGTCATCGCCCTCATACAGGCCTAATAGGTTCCGTGGGCCTGAGTCTACGTGGAGAAAACTTACGTTCGAAGATCGGCAGAATGCGCAAGCTCTGGAGGAACTCAGAGCCAGAGATCTTGCCGCTCATCTTTACAATGCTTTTGCATTACGGGCTAGGGCACGCGAGATTGCACAGCAAGCGTTAGAAAGTGATAAGCAGCTCGACGAAACCGAAGCTTTTGTACCTCCGAAACGTTGGACAGCGTGGCCTGTACCGGCAACGGAGGTCCCTCGTCCAGGAGAGCATCTTCGAAGACTAATAGACGATGAATGGACTTTGAGAATGCCGCCGGATCCCCGGCCCAGCGCGGAGCTGGAAGAGTCAATAATAGCAATCATGCTCAAGACTGCCAAGGATCGGTTCCAGACGCGAGATTGGACGACTAAAGGCGTCGGCCCAAACCCAAAGCAGAGAGCACGATCTATGTCCAGAACGAACGACGAAACTACTGGTATGGAGAGCGAATGGGAAAGTGACATTGACGCTACGGATGCTATGGAGCTTCGTCCGGTAGTCCAAGCCGATGATGACAAATCACGACGACAGCTACGCCCTCTTACGCGCAACATACTTACCCGATTCGATCAGCTACTGATGGGTCTGCACCATGCTCGAAAAGGCGGAGTGGCGGGAGATGATAGCTCAGCAAGTGAATGGCAGAGTGACACGGAGAGTGTTGCTTCGAACGCATCTCATTCAAAGAAAAGGCGCAAGGGCGAGAAGGGAGAGAGGAGTCAATCAAGAGGGCGCAAACGTACTCGCAGATCCTCCGTGCGGGCTGCATCCACGACAGGCCGATCTCGCAGCGTACTTGCATCGAGCGCATGCACTGCCTCTCGTTCACGTGGAAGGTCCTTTGATAGTGATCGCAGGCGATCAGCCAGTCGCATTCGTCGCGGGCTTCGCGACTGGAGCGAAGTGTTAGGTATTGCTTCCATGATAGGCTTGCCGCATGCTGCGGTTATGCGAACCGCTCGCAGATGTGCGGCTCTTTTCGGCGAGGATATGGAATTCCAGACCTTCAGGGAGGGTCAGCTGCAGCAGTCGAAGGAGGGATATGTCAACAAATGGGAGTATGTCGAGGACGAGTCCGACGAGTCAGAACCAGAACCACAAATCGAGCCTTCCCCTCCTAGCCGAGCTCAATCTCGAAAGCCGCGCTCCCGCGCAGCGTCTACAATTGGCTCGGCTTCTCGTCCCGGTAGTCCAACATCGGAGGCAGCTGGTAGCACACCACGACTCAAAGGCAAAGGGCAGCATCGCAAACAGGACATAGTGTGTCCTGTCAAGTCATGTCCCCGACATATCGATGGTTTCACTCGGACATGGAATCTCAACTTGCACATGAAGCGAATGCATGGCGGATACCGGTCCAGAAGCGCCAGTGTCAAGTCTGCGGGTGCCAGGTCCCGTGCTCCGTCAGTGAGCGGTTAGCAACCGTATTGCTGAAGTTAATTACCATTCCTAAGATCCAGCTCGAACAGTAGTCACTAAATTCAGGTGCTAATAGATTAACTCTGTTCATCCAGCTGAATAGTCCCTTTGGCAGACTCAATTGATAAGGTAAAATATTTGGTCACATTCTGTTATTTACCGCAGTAGGTCGGTGCGTACTATTGGCTAGATCCACCGGATCTCTTCCAACATTGAATATTACTGGATAGAAATGCCGAGCTACCCATCCGCATTTCTGGCCGTGTTTTATCGATACGCGAGATGTATTTGATATCGAAATTTGGGGTTGTGAACAGATCTATGATCTTCAACAGGGCAGCTATTTCTCTATGACTGTAGTTGGCAAATACACAATGTGTGCAGTCTCATAATCTTCAAATGAATCAACTCTACCATTGGGATATCACTGAGTTTATGTATACATGCGTTCTGTTTCTAGAATGACGTAGACCCACGTGAGGGACAGCTCCCCGCCTGGAGCAATGGTGGTAATGAATGCTTGACGGGCTCGGAGATACGATTAGCATTTATTTTACATACTCATCGTTGGATCCATCCTTCCCTCGATTCTGTAAAGTATAAAGATAACTTAATTCCCTTCTCCAGTAGACAAAGCCTTTCTAAGATCTTTTTTATTTCCGCAACATTCCAGTACTCCATCGGCGGAAGAGCTTCACGACTTTCCCCGCATACTGAGATAGGGAGGAGAATCATATCGATTATCCCTTTTGTTGCTCCCAATTTACTGTGCCACTGAAGGCCAGTTAATCCCTTTGAGGGCTCATCATACAACCACCATGGAGAGGATTATCCGTCCGGTTTCGCGGCAGTTGTTGAGATCGCGAGCTCGGTATCCCTTTGCCGTACCTACGCTTCATGCCAAAAGATTATACTCAAAAAGCCATGCTGTACCTCCGGTAAGGCCACTCTTGAAGGCTGGCATCTTATGGAAATGAGCTTACAACTGCTACTTTTAGCTGAAAGACCAGTCTCTCTTCATTGAGAAGGCCTATGTCAACGGACAATGGGTAGACGCGGAGTCAGGAAAGACATTCGAGGTTCATGGTAAGGCTGGTGCTCTCCTGGTGTTAGAACGAAACTTATCCCATATTCCCCTTAGATCCCGCCTCTGGGAAACTTATCGGCACATGCCCCGAATTCGACGCCCTCGACACAGAAAAGGCCATCGAGGCAGCCTCAGCTGCCTTTCCCAAGTTCCGCGCAACCCTAGCGCGCGAGCGTGCCCGCATGTTGCGACGATGGTACCAATTGATGATGGATAATGCAGAAGACCTAGCAACATTAATCACATGGGAGAACGGGAAGCCCCTAGCTGACGCCAAGGGCGAGGTGAACTACGCAGCCAGCTTCTTCGAATGGTTCAGCGAGGAAGCACCCCGGATTTATGGCGACACGATCCCCGCATCAGTTCCCGGTAACCGAGTCATGACGTTGAAGCAGCCCGTTGGCGTCTGCGGCTTGATCACTCCGTGGAATTTCCCCGCGGCTATGATCACAAGAAAGATCGGACCTGCTCTGGCCGCTGGTTGCACGGTTGTGTGCAAGACTCCTGGTGAAACACCCTTCACAGCGAACGCCCTTGCGGAGCTGGCTCATCGCGCCGGTATTCCCAAGGGAGTGGTCAACATCGTGACGTCGCTCAAGAATACTCCGGAGGTGGGAGAGGTGATCACCACCCATCCTGAAGTTCGCAAGGTCTCGTTCACCGGTTCGACCAATGTCGGTAGACTGCTTATGAAGCAGGCTTCGTCTACTATCAAGAAGGTGTCTTGGGAGCTGGGCGGAAACGCGCCATTCATTGTGTTCGATGATGTCGACGACCTCGACGCCGCAGTCTCCGGAGCCGTTGCCTCCAAGTTCCGCAGCTCAGGCCAGACCTGCGTCTGTGCTAACCGAATTTACGTCCAGAGAGGCGTCTACGATGAATTCGTCCAGCGCTTCGCCGCAAAGGTCAAGGATTTCAAGCTCGGTGCCGGCTTCGAGGATGGAGTCACTCACGGCCCGCTTATCCACGAGCGTGCCACCGAGAAAGTCGACCAGCACGTCAAGGACGCTCAAGCCAAGGGAGCCAAGCTTGTCGCCGGAGGCCAAAGAGTCCCCGAGCTGGGCCCCACCTTCTACGAGCTGACTGTCCTCGCTGAGATGAGCAAAGATATGTTGATGGCCTCGGAGGAGACGTTCGGCCCTGTGGCTGGAATTTTCCCCTTTGAGACCGAGAAAGAGGTTGTCGAGTTGGCCAATCGTGCCGAGGTCGGCCTTGCAGGTTACTTCTTCAGTGGTAACGTCAAGCGTATTTTCCGGGTTGCGGAGGCGCTGGAGGTCGGTATGGTGGGAGTCAACACAGGTCTTATTAGCGATGTGGCCTCTCCGTAAGTGTCCCAGTCAGACAGACTGCTAGTGCATTGTGCTAACTTTCGCTAGGTTCGGTGGTGTTAAGCAGAGTGGTTTCGGCCGTGAGGGCAGCAAGTACGGAATCGACGAGTTCCTTACGATTAAGAGCGTGACCTTTGGTGGTATGGGTGAGCCATTGCAGTCGTAGAGCGGCTGTATCATACGGGGTACTTGGGCAAAATTTGAATTCGAATCTGTAATTTTCAAGCCACAGTAATGACAATATAGCAACATGGGCCGTTAAACACGTCCTAATCACACTTCGTCTCATCACGGTAATTATCCTTAGTTGTCGTACTATAATCCCACCAGAAGTCCAAATGCTGAGGATCCGACTCTGGGATCTCGCACTCCGAGACATAATCCGGTAAATCTTGCCTCAGGATCGAGGCATACTCCTCCAAGAGACAGGAATAGCCTGGTCCAGACTGGCAGGCACGGAACGGCACCACTGCTTCGTTCAAGACTAATCGGACATATATTCCCGCAGGCGAGATGGCCGTGGCGTTGCAACTCAGTCGCTCCATGGTGAGATGGCCGCCCATTGGCACCAGCTCACTACTCGACCATGAATGGCCGAAGGCGACACGGTCAGTTGGGAGATCTTCGGGTGGGTTTAGGATACCCAGTGAGTCGATGATGGGGGTGATATCGGTATCATGTGCACTACAAGTGTGGTTATCAGATACGTACGACTGAGAGGGCAGATGGTAGGGAGGTCCACCTACAAGTTAAAGAAGAGGGTGCCGGACGAAGGTCCCTGCTCGAGAAGAGCGAGACTGGCGTTGACGTACACGGAGCCAACTGGACGCATCTTGTTATTTCCAGGTCTAGGAGCAACGGAACGGTCAATGCTGATTCTGTACTAGATGAAAGTGAGATCGGCTTACCCGGCGCAATAGTAAAAGTGTAGATCCCAGATGTACGCAAAGCTGACCCATTCATCCATGGTGAACACTCCTGTCCAATCCGAATGTCCACGGACGCTGGGTTCATAGGATGACATTGCTTCTGAGGTTAGTAAACGGCAAACAAGCGAGTAGATGCCAAAGGCGCGACCTACTCATCAACCAGAATATATCCGTGGACGTCAAGTCCAGACCGGGATACTGGGCGTTGAGCCGCTGCGCCGCACCCTCAAGCTGGGGCAACGACTGCGGCCATGCATCGCATATGCGCTGCGCATGCTGGTCGCGAGCATGACACGTACGCGATAGGGCATTCGCGCCCTGACGAGCCGATTCGGAGATGATATTGATAGCCGCTTTCGTCTTATACTCGTCATCACCGAAGAACCCTTCCCCGAACATTCGAGCCGTGTCCACGATGCGGCCGGCGTCGCTGGCGAACAGAGGCACAATCGTCTCTTCGTCCCAGAGGTGGCCGTATCGGTTGCGTGCATCCATGCCGTGCTTATAGGCGTCCTGAATACCGTTGTACGGTCCAATGGTGGTTTCCTTGTCATAGTAGCAACTTGAAGGGACAAAGTAGGTCCAGTTCTTGACAAAGTTCAGATCACCATCGGCGTGTGGCTCGTCGAACACGGCGTTCTTGACCTTTTGCAACGCCTTTTCTATCTTTGGCCCTTCGCTTGCGAGAGGGTATCGCTCCCCATGGCGTTTGATGATGATCACCTGGTCAACTGAACAGCCTGCCGGAGGGTCGCGATTGATCCCGTAGTTGCTGCGGTCCACGTATGGTCCCATTGCGCCATTGTGTTTGAGGATGTTGTTTCCATCAAGGGTTTGCTGCGAGAATAGCAGTGTTGCGGTGGTCGCTGGGATTAAGACCAGGAGTTGCGCATAATGGCGAACCATGGTGTTGGAGGTTGTCCAAACTCGCTTCATATCCAGCGGCTGCTAGATAGTTCACACAGTGTACATGGTCTTGGACACGGGTGAGAAGTTCGCGAGTCCTAGAACAAACATACCAGAGGGCAGGGGTTCATCCCGCATTCCTGAGCCACAGGAGGGACAAAGTCCCGGGCCTAATCTTGCAGTATTGAAAGGAGTGTTTGCTGTCGAGGAAGCCACTGATTTATACTTATGCGCATGCTATTGCTCGTTCATCCACAATGGCTGTAACCTGTGATAGAATGACAGCGCGATTTGGTTGCAGCAGTAAATCTCGTGACAACTGAAGCGACACGATATCGGAATTCGACCGCTATTCTTACGAGATCAGTGGAGGTCACTTGAGCGCGAGCTGCAGAAATTTGGATAAGGTGGGTTTTGAGAAGTGGTTAGTTGAACGAGTGCGTGGATCCAAGAACCAAAGACGTAGAGGAGAATGGTCTTCTGAAAAGAAGTGCATAGTGAGGCAGTTGTCTAATGTACAAAATAACACGAGCGCCGGAACCAGTAACCGATAATAAAGTTGACCATGCATATCCCGAGTATCACAACGAAACCATATGTTCAATGAAGCATGTCTGTGCCGAATCCAACCAAGCACTGTACCGTGATACAGTCGATAAGGCTTCCTTCATGGTTCAAATAGTCGATGAAGATCGTTTCCTCATTTCCTCTGCTCTATGTTGCACGCAATTATTTTCCTTGACGTTGCTTGTGCTTAGGATTCTTCGAACTGTATTTGTATTTGATCAGACTTAGGCCTATCGAATGCAAAGGGAACCGCCGATACTGACCAGATAATGTAAACTCGATTCTTCCTCCGAACAGGCTATTGACAACCAGCCGTTAGTATGATGTGGACCATGCAGCCACGCATATTTCATACCTTGCAACCATCGCATAACCGCTTAACGGACGATCTCGTCTTCATGCCCCGAACCTGCTCGAGTTGTCGCACAGTGGACCCCACAACACCGACATTGTTATCTTGCTGCTTCGCAGAACGCAGGCTCCGAAGGCTGTTGCCGACCGACGCTCTTGACAGTTGCGATAGTGACCGCGAGAGGAACTGGTGAGAGAATGGCTGACTCGGGAGAAGTTGGCGGAGGGCCCGGGTCGAAGAACCCAAGATGGACCGAATGGACAGCATGGTGAAGAATGGCGGAAAGGACTGGTAGCCTTTACCGGGACAATTCGTTCTTGATCGGCCGTCCAGAGGTGCAAAGGATCAGATGGTCGGCTTCATGCTCCCAAGGTCATCAAATCCGCGGAGCAAATGTTCACCGGAGTTTCTGTATCGCCGAGATCCGGGTCCATCACCATCCACCAATCCATAGGTAAATACTTTAGGTAGATACTGCATGCAGTCAAGGTTCCATGGACGATGTACTTCGTTTCTGGGTTACTACTATGGTTTGTATCAGGTATCACTACGAGGCACCCTCGATCGTGGTGAAATGTACTACATGAAGTCAGGACATCAGTTCTGCTTCAACCCATACCTGGAGCGACACAAGCACGGGTCGGTTCTTGACCAGAATCGAAGCGCGGCTTATTGACGATGCTCCGTGCGTTGGTGAAAGGGGACATTGAGGAGAGAAAGGAAACTGGAGGGTTGCGGGAGCCTACACCATTCATACAGCCGAGAATACGACGAGGCGGAGCTCATCGAGTTGGTGGCTGTGGACCTGCATCTCAATGATGGAGAGCAAATGCCCCTCACTCTACCGCCAGAGTATATATCGCTAGTCTTCAGTGTCCTCATGGCATATTTTGCTCCCTGTGTTGCATACCCAACGTCAATATGTCGTTGCTTGACCTCCCCTTGGAAATCTTACAAGGAATTCTCGATTTTGTTGTTATCCAACAGAGACACCGATCAATCCAACTTCGTCTGGTAAATCGTGAGTTTGCATCGCCCCCTAATGATTGTTACGTGGCTGGAATGCTGAACCTCTAGGGCTGTTCGACCATGAAATCATGCTTGCATACGCCAGGAACAGAATCCTGGGGGAAGATAGGCTATTCTGGGTGCGATATTGGAGCGTACAGGAAAGATTTATGGTGCCCTACTTTCTTCATCAGGGACGGGATGACGATGACTCCTCAGGTACTGATATCATATCCCTGATGAACCACTGGGTGGATCGTCTTGCGCGGGACTCAACCAAGGGTAGCGAGAGAAACAAGCTGCGTCATCAATTCATGAAGCGACTTATATCACACATAAAGCACGATGTTCGCCGCGTCGTTTTAGCGGCCGAGAGTGGCTCCATTGATTTTGACCAGTCTTATGAACTGTTGTTTGCAGCAACGTATAACGGGGACCTTGAACTTGTGGATCAACTATCGCAGGATACGCGCCGCATCCGCGAGGATGCCAAGTCGGGGCTGTTCGAGGATCGACTTATCGAGGCAGCGGTTAAGTCCCTCGATTCGAAGATCGTGGACATGCTTCTGCGGCGTGGCGCCAGAATGCACCCAGAGGACTCAGATGAGAAAAGCTGGGACTCCCCGGTGGTACCGGCCGTTGAAAACTGGAGTGCGAAGATACTCCAACTCCTCCTGCAGCCCGAGTTCGGTCTCAGGACCTCTGGCGTGGCCTATCAGCGCGCAATTGTCATTGCGATGAGCGTGGATCGGGCAGAAGCTCTGGCGACGCTACTGGACCATTACACCGCACCGCTATCTGAATCGCGCTATCTTTTGACGGAGGGTCTTCGGGAGGCTTGCAGGTCGGGCCGCGTTGACTTCGTCCATCTCCTCCTTGACAACGGAGCCGACGTCAATGAGACGCTCAACGACGCTAGGAACCTTCATGAACCACGGCCTCTGGCGTATGCCGGCTGGAAAGGCCAGGTGGGAGTAATGCGTCTCCTCTTGGCCAGGGGGGCAAGCATCGGTGAGCACGCCGACAGATCAATCGATGTTCCTCCTGGTCCCCAGGCAATGCGCGCAGTAGCATGGGGCGGCCACTACGACGCGATGGAGGTCCTCATCGACGCTGGCCTTCGACTGAGTATCCGTGACTGGACTGGTGTGATGTTTATCCTGAGTTGCCACCCAAACGCAGCGAAGCTCACGAGAACGATCCTTGATGACGGGCATCTCCGTGTGAGTCACCTGCTAGATCCCGACGAGGACGACAGCCCCGTACTGGCAGACCTCGTTGTTCTGGCATGCCGGCAGGGCAATTTTGAATATCTCAAGGCATTATTTGACCACGGCGCGCCCCTGAACGACGACGCCATTTACATCCAAAGGGGATATCCGCCTCCCATTGTGATGGCCATGTGCTGGCGCCAAGATACACTTGTGGAGGCCTTGACAAAGCTTGGAGCACATGAGGTTGATCCCTTGCAAAGCATTATTGGAAATCGCTTCAAGCGAGGGGACTTTCCATGCGATCCTCCTCCTCCTCCTCCATGCCATCGAAGTTTTTCTCCCAAGGTCATTTGAGTGCTGCTGCTGTATGGAAGTGGTCTGGCTCGTAACCGGATAGTAAATATGCAATGTGAGAAAGCTTCGTTTGGGGTAGTATACCCGATTCTGTAGCATATTCTGTCTGATGCTGTAGGAGCTGCTTCCGGCTTGATATGTCCAGCAAAAGCAGTGGCCACCGCTTGTTTCTTTAATGTACAATACTACCTTCAGGCTTCTCGCTGCTAGATGAAGCCTTACAAATGTAGTATGGCGTATCTCCCAGATTCTAACCCAACTTTCTCCCGATTATTTTGCTTTATCTTTACAGATTTTCCAAGTTATTCGCACACAGTTGGATCCATCGCAATGACGCACCTGAAATTGATCTTCTCAGAAAGAGTAGCGGACATAACAACCCCTCGAAAATCAAACACATACAAGTGCCCTCTTCCCTCTCTTCCCTCTCGTCTCTTATCACAGAATACCTACAGTCTCGGTACTTCTACGCATCAGAGTATATAGGAACAAAGAAACCAGACGTGGAAGACAAACAGCAGTGGCGCCGTCACTTGCTTCTCCACTTATAATCCAAGACTCAATCACGTCCAAGATTCCAAGCAATAGCGGGCAAACCGCCGTCGTCTTCCAGTGAGAATTCTGCCTTCTGAGGTACCAGCTTGTTCAGCTCCGACGGACCGTTATGATCGGCCAGCATATAGTACTTGGACTTGCCACTACTCGAGGCAGCGAGGGCCTCGAACGGCTCCCCATCCAAAGGAGGATCTTGCTGCCGAGAATAGGCGATGTCTTCTTGGTGGCCTTCACCGAGTACTTCTTCTCCGCTTCGGCAAAGTTATGGTCATCGGTCTTGGATGCTGGTTGTTCTCGCGGAGATTGTTGATGAGGACTCGACCCTTCTCGGCGTAATTGACATTGGAGATAGTATAGCCTTGGTCGCAGGTGCCAGTTCTCTTGCAAGGCTGCTGTCCAGGGGACTTGGGTTGCGGCTTGGGAACAGGAACAGGGACCGGGTCGATGGAGGAACAGGCTGTCACTATTACGACCTCTTCAGAGAATTTAAAGGGTTGATTGTCCAATACAGCCTAGGAGATCTAAATGGGCACGCAGATTACAAACATATGACATGTATTCAAGTACTATGAACAAGATATACAATCAAATAACCCCGAAAGAAAAGCAGAGACAATAACCACAATCCTCAAGGCAAACATGGAGGGTGCAGTAAAACCCGAGGCCAACGAGCCGCTGACCTGGCCGATCAAGTTACTGGTGTCCTCTGGCTTCAGAGCCATGTATTGGATATCAGGCCGAGACAAGTTCGACTCTGGATAGAAGACCGTGATGATCGGCGTGGCACCCAGAACCATATTCTTCAGATTAGTCGATCCATTGGCGTTGGCGAAACTGTTCGAGTCCACGAGAGTGAGGTTATAGTCGCCGCCGGACGACGAATGGCAGTTTCCACTGCTGCTTGTGCTGGACGTATTCCGATTGGTAAAGGCTATAAAACCGATTAGACCATGCGATGTGACGAGGTGGTCGATTCAATTCTTACCTTAGAAGTGCAACTCCCCTAGGTTATAGTTGTGGCACGAGGTTGGCCGATTGCCGGTTGTTGTCTCTACTAACTTCTTACACACATTCGATAGATCACCATCATTCTGGGGCATCAGTTCTTGCGCAGTATTGTTCACTAGGGCCGTCAGATCTCGAACGCAATCGTCGGAAAGTTCCTGAGTACGTCGACCGTCCGGGTTGGCGTCAGAGTAGAGAGGCTCGGAGGCACCATGGTAGAAGATACTGCAGGCGCGAAAGGACGCATTTTGAATAGAGCCAGGATCTGAGCCAAGGCCAAAATAGAAATCCCTCTCGATCTGGATGAGTTTGTTCCGTCCTGTGTCGTCCGAGCTGTTCTGGATGTGGATGCCCAGCGTCCAGGAAAGTTGGGTAGAGCCATTGTTGACCAAGGGCGAAATGAAGAATGTCGTCCCAGACGCCGAAGAGCTGTTATCTGCTGCTATGCAGTGCGATAGTGCATGGCTTTCGAGAGAAGGGTTCTTGCCATTCAGGTTGGCTGTTCCGGGAGAGATCGAGAGGGAGGAAAATATCAGGAAAGGGAGACTCGTCACTGTTGACGGCCGCATTGTTAGGAGAAACTATCCATATACAATTCAGTTGCTAGATTATTGAGAGTAGTCATGTCTAAAACCCAAGTCAGGGCAATTGGCGCCCTCTTATAGTACTTCTGCTACATTGACGCCGACGGGGCAGTGCACCAAGGCAGACTGGACAAATGACGATAATCTACTTTCAATGTTGGTTTTAATGATTTTCCAACTGCTAACATGAGACATTAGCTTATATCGAAGCTACTTACCAGCGGTATAAGCTTTGCTGAAAGTGTCAACAGGCATGGTCAAATGGGCAAGATTATCACGGTGATGCGGTCCAACTAAATATATATCACCAGCCAGCATGTGCTGTTTATGAGTGTAGGCTACATTAATCAAGACTAGGCAGAATTACCCTATTCTCCAATACTCTCGCAGGACTTGCAGAAAATCTGGTCAGTTATTGATTTCCTCATGAATTGATCCATCCTATGTTGTTCCTGTTCCAGCCATTAGGGCAGGCTTCTAGGGTTCCCTGTTCCTCAGTCGCGGAGGTAACCCGAGATAGTAAACAACTGAAACCTACCTGTCAAAATATTCAATTCAATGAACTGCTTCAACCACGTCTAAAGATGTATTACCAATACTACGATCCTCCACCATCACCAGAGCCACTAGAGTCAGGCGTCTTCACCTACGGCAAAGATGGCATCAAAGCAGGAGGTTTTACCCGAGCCCACAGCGCAGTTACATCTCTACGGAATCCCTTTTCAGGTAAACGCTAGTGCAGCTGAATTAAAGAGTGCTCTAGAGACTGCAGTGAAGAACAGACAGGTGAGAAAAGCGTATTTGAATATTAGGAGGCAGGACTGACCTGCCAAGTGCTTAAATCCGACACTGACACTAGCAGTGATTGCTATCGAAAGGTCCCTGGCTGAGCAATACCGCAACCTGGAAAGAGCTCGTGAGGAACGCATCAGCCGTGAATACGCGGCGAAATTTGCAACGCTGGGGACTCCTTCTCTCGAGGCTCGCTTTGATCCTCGATTTTTTCATTGCCAAGTATTTCCTCGGACCGAACGGGGCCCCAGAAAAGAGATGCAACGAGAGGCGTTGATCCTTGAAGACGTTGATGGATCGGATTTCTCGAAAGGCCGTGCAGGCAGTACCCGGTCTGGTTGCGCATATCATCAGGCGACTGACTCTAGTTGGATGGGAAGACAGCTTCGAGCATGGACTCGACGCTGCCTTTGCGGCTCGCTCTGCACCTGGAGCTCGGTTTCACATCCCCACATCCGAGGCTAATTTCGACCTTGACCGTTTCATGGCAAAGTATTTCCTTGACGGCTTGAATGGCAAGCCTGATCCGAAGAAGACCACCACCCAATCGAGCTCTACCCATTCTTTGAGCATCTGCCACGCCTCATGAGTCTTGTAGAGTCAATACCAGGGCTGCACCTTATACGGGTTAAGGATGCATGGAGCAGATACACGATCCTTGGCTGGGACATCGCCAAAGTCATAGCCATCAAGAAAGGACACGAAGATGAAAGGGAGCGAAAAAAGGCTGAAGAAGAAGCCGAAAAGCGCGCACAAAGGCAAAAATGCTGGCACGAAGCGTTACAGCCCCATCGGGATTATATGAGAAACTATCACCCTCCCGCCGGTCCGCTGGCGCTGGACGATATCGTGGGATCGTATACCATTCTTTGCGAAGCGATAGATGAACACCTGGGTAATTATCATGACGAGCTGACGCTCGAGATCCAGAAACCAGCCAGCGCAAATGGAGTAGTGGCCGCGTTCAATCTGGATCTCGTTGAAGGGACCATGCTGCTAGCATTGTCCGATGATGCACTGCACCGTCTCCGTGAAGAACAGCCTCCCGAGTTGACCTATTATGAAAAGGAAGACGAAGACAGATCCGACAGCTATGAGTCGAACTCCAATAAGCGCAAAGGAAGCGAATTATCAGGAGGACAAGCAATCAGACGTTGGGTGGGTGAGATCCCCAACCCGAATCGTGTGTACCTCCAGTGGGGCGGCCGAGTGGTCCTCGCAGAAATCGAGGTAGACGAGGGTAACGAACACACCGGATACCTCGACTTTGATGCTTCAAGGGCGACCGCTCGCGGAGAATGGGCCTATCCGGCATTGTGGGGTAAAGAAAGAAAGATTGCTTTCTCGATTATAAACGTGGAGATCAACCTCGGAAAACTCCCAGAAATTGGAATTACTGGACCCAGAAGTGGTACGACATAGAATGGATGGGGCGCTGGGGCCGTTGGTGACTTGTATACACATCAGGACAGAAGGGAGTGGCATCCAATAGACAGCCTGAAAGCGACTGGATTTTCAAGCTGACGATGATCTGTCGCAACTGATCATTGTGAAACTGATGGCACAGCCTATCCGTGCTGCTAAGATATTCACTCGCCTCGTAACCTCAAGCAGATGGGAATTGAAATCCATTGCTATATGCAAGCCAGTTCATTAAAAGCAGGCTTCAGCCTCTAATCTATCTGATGCTTCGATCCGAACGCCGACGAAAATAAAGTATTCTTTTCATCCCAAGAGAAAATCAACAACCTGACCCAGTCAAGTATTCCCTCTAGCAGAAACGCAAAATAACGGAGAATGTGGTACTCATTTTTAACAACGGAGGAATGTCTGGTAAGTGGGAGAGTCGGTTTGCTCGCTGAACGGATACCCGAGGTCGTTGAGGAAGGCCTCCAGATCCTTCTTCTCGTCATTCGGGCACTGAATGCCTGCCAGTACCTTTCCGACATCGCCACCATAGTTGCGGTAGTGGAACAGGGAGATGTTCTGGTTGGGCCGGAGCGTGGTGAGGAACTTGGCCAAAGCTCCTGGACGCTCTGGAAACTCGAACATGAAGAGACGTTCATCCTTGACGTCGCAGCGTCCTCCAACAAGGAAACGCACGTGTCGCTTGGCAAGCTCGTCGTCGCTCAAATCCTTCGCCGGCATGCCGGCCTTTTCGAGCTGATCCATAATCTTCGCCAAGTCTTCGCGACCAGTCAGCGCAGACAAGGAGATACCCATGAGGACATCGGCGGACTCGGCTCGAGCATAACGGTAACCGAAGGCGGTTACGGCTTGAGGAAGGATCACCTCGACCAGATTTGCGAAAGCACCAGGCTTCTCCGGGATGTTGACGCTTAGCAGCGCTTCCTTCCGCTCACCCAAAGCAGCACGCTCAGCAACAAAACGCAAGCGGTCGAAATCCATGTTTGCACCAGATGTGATGGCGACCAGCTCCCGGTTGATGTCGGGGCTAGGGTTCTGGGAGATGTACTTCTTGAGTCCTGCGAGTGCCAGGGCACCGGCGGGCTCGATGATAGATCTGGTATCTTCAAAGGCATCCTTGATGGCGGCACAGGTCTCGTCGGTCGAAACCAAAATGACATCGTCAACCACCTCACGGGCGAGACGATATGTTTCCTCGCCAACAGTCTTCACAGCCGCACCGTCCGCAAACAGTCCAACCTCCCTAAGGAAAACTCGAGATCCCTCACCCAACGACCGGGCCATGGCGTTGGCATCGTAGGCCTCGACTCCGATAACCTTCACATGCGGCGCGATGCGCTTCAGATAAACCCCGAGACCGGCAACCAGCCCCCCCCCGCCGACAGCGCAGAAAACAGCCTCGAGTTTCTCCAAGTTTGCTTGACGCAGAATTTCCATTCCAATGGTACCCTGTCCCGCAATCACGTACGGATCATCGAAGGGAGGAATGCTGGTCAGACCGTGCTGCTTCTCCAGCCGATGAGCTTCCTCCTTGGCAGCGTCGAAGTCGTTTCCGTGAAGGATGACACTGCCGCCGAGACGGGCGACATTCAAATGCTTGATGGCAGGGGTGCCCGAGGGCATGACGATGGTCGCGGGGATCTTGAGCTTGCGAGCGGAGAATGCAACGCCTTGTGCGTGGTTACCTGTATACCTGTCAGCTCTCCTCGAGGTGAGTCACCACATTGAAAGGCTCTGACCTGCGGAGCAAGCAATAACACCCTTCCACCGCTGCTCAGGGGTCAAATGCGCCATCTTGTTGTAAGCTCCACGGAGCTTGAAGCTGAATACAGGGAGCAAGTCCTCCCGCTTGAGAAGCACACGACATTCCAGACGATTGCTAAGATTGATGGCGTGATGGAGCGGTGTCTCCTGAATGACATCGTAGACCCGTGACGTCAGGATAAGGCGGAGGTACTGCGTTGCCAGGATGGTGGTTAATTATATTCCGGGAACATATCCTTTGGGCTAGGACCTTACATCTGGGTAGCCATTGGGAAGCAGAAATGCACTTGGGATACCCCAGTCTCGGGATAAGCCCAGCGCGGTGTTTTGGTCCTTCTCCGAAGGGGGAGTGGGAGCGGCGGTGTACTCAGTCAGAGCGAGGTTGCTCAGCTTTGCAGTGACCGGAGTTGTCGTACCGTTCGTGGCAGGTTGATCGGGCATAATGAACCTGTATCTCAAATCAAAGACACTGATTGCGATTTAGGGTCAGAAGAACGCAATCGAAGGAGTCAGCGGCGAGATCAAAAATTCGCCGGCAGTGGCACAATCACGCCTTCGACAAACATTAATCCTTCCCGCGGGGCCACCCTTCTTGAATGCCGTGATCGGAGCGGAATTGGTTGACTCATCAGCCCTCACCTTGAGCCCTAATTTCCTGCAGGTAAACGTACTTTCTGCGACATCTTATTGAATAATTTCGATATCTCAAGCTGAACCAGTTACGTATTTGTCTTGATGCTCATTCTGAGCATAAGAATATGACATCCTTCTGGATGGTCTGACCTGATTCAATCTGCGATAACCAGTAGTACCAACCACATATGTGGCATACCTCCCAGATGATGCGAACTACTCACGCTCTGATCGTCGGAAAGCTTGGCTAACTATAAACTCCTGACGTCTAAGTGACTTACACTTCAATGGATGTCGGTCTCGAATCAAACATAAGCTCAGGTTCAGCTTGTTCCTGCGAGGCTGTGTATCACCCCTAGTTCCTATGTAAAAGTAGATAATCTCGAGTCACAAGAGCAGAACTAGCTTTTATACCAGTAGTTAACTACCTAGACGGAGGACTTCCCCGTCATTTTTCAGCCGTAAATCCTCTTTACGCCAGCGTCGAGCCGTACCTCTGGTGTAAATAGCTTCAAATCGCTGTCAGTGGATAATGTTAAAAAAAGGGCATGGTAACGTACGATACGGGTACGGAACTTTACCGCAAAGATCTCCGAATTCTCCGCAACGTCATGTTGTCTCTGGAAGTTCGATAGATTGAGGCGACATCTGCCTTCCTATTTGGAAAGAGAGAGTGGTTGGAGAAAATAATCCGCTTAAATCATTCAGTTCACTTCATTTACTATTTCAATCCTTGCAAAACCTGGTACCCATTGCAGTGCTCTCCTTCATTTTCACTTGGATTGGAGTAGTGGCGTGTCAGCCCCGAATCAATCCGCGCGACTCGATAACCTTTTTACGAATCCAGCAACTCACCTCGTGAGACGTCCTCCAAAGACAAAATGCTCAACGAACCCCTTCCTTCCTCCATGGAGGATAACCCGTACGTACCGGTCAATTTCCTCGCTAGCTGTTGAGACGCGGAGGAACAGGATAGCTAACCAATCATGACCACTAGCCAATTCAAGGAGGAGACCTCTCTCCAGAAATTCCGCAGACGGCTCAAGGAGGAACCCTTGATCCCGCTAGGTAAGTTGAGTTGAGATACGCATCCTCCCGTTGCTCCGATCTAATGCGTACTTTTGCGTCCAGGATGTGCCGCCACATGTTACGCCCTCTACCGCGCGTACAGGTCGATGAAGGCCGGCGACTCGGTCGAAATGAACAAGATGTTCCGTGCTCGTATCTACGCCCAGTTCTTCACACTCGTCGCTGTTGTTGCCGGAGGCATGTACTTCAAGACAGAGCGCCAGCAGCGAAGGGAGTTCGAGAAGATGGTGGAGCAGCGGAAGGCACAAGAGAAGCGGGATGCGTGGTTGCGTGAGCTGGAAATCCGAGACAAGGAAGATAAGGACTGGAGGGAGCGTCATGCTGCCATTGAGGCTGCTGCTAAGGAGGCGGGCAAGAGGCCGGCGCCGAAAAAGATTCCAGAGCAGGACGCTGCTCGGTCAGCTATTGAGCCTGCTGATGAGAAATCGATTGGGGTACTAGCTGCTGTGCGAGATTTATGGATGCAGCAGAAGTAAACTTGGCATTACGAAAGTGCGTCATTTACAATGTGGTTCCTCGCGATAACTTGTACATATATACATTTCAGGGTCCTGTAAGAGTAAGAGAAGCTCTCCTTCACTAACCGATTTTGAGCCAAATGCCTCGTAGCAGACGCGACCACGGGCCAACTCCGAGGAGATCGATTCAACTCGCGATTTGTTCGTCGATATACCGTTTCATAGTTTCGAACTCGGCTTTTCCAGTCTGCCAAATGGTCAGCCGGCAAGCTTAGAACTCAGGAGCAATGCCTCATACCGAGACGAGATATCGTATATGTTGCTTTATTACAAGCAAGCAATAAATTAGCTATACGCTTCTGCGCCGTTCCGCAGACACTCACCAAGTCTGTTACGTTGCGATGCCGCTCAAATCCTGAACGAGCATAGCTGCGCAACTCATCCCGAGTCGACGATTTAGGAATCTCTTCATGGTCGAGATATCAATCAGCTTGCAAGACTCAACAGGTCATGGCAATTCAAATCTAGACTTCCGAGTACGGGAGACTAACTGTTCAGCGCCCTGACTATCTCGCGCCATAGACCCAGGACTCGCTGCCTCTGTATGAACTAACAGTCGTATCAATATTGATTATTTCATAGATGCTTGATATGGAGATGTTACATACATGGTCCAAGCTAACTGCAGGCTTTCTGAGTTTCGAAGGCTGGCTGCGGGAGACAGAGGCAAGCAGTCTCAAAGATGAACGCATCTTTTCATAAGCTGCCTAAGTCGAGATATGGAAAGTTGACAACATTGACCATTAAGACGCCCCAATCTGCTTCATGAACGGTACCCTGCTATACTCAAAAATAGGTATCCATGACATATTTAGCTGAAGGTAAACCAATTGGCGGCGGAAGACAAGGCGGTGAAGTAAAATTTTCAGGCGTATTGTCTTGTATGATACAGTGACATACAATACATCATACCTAGCTGGATAAACCTATCTGGTTGAGACTTGTGGCTTTGACAGAGAGAGCGTCATGTATCTATTCTGCACCCCCTATCACAAGTCCAACAGATCAATGATAACGATATTGTCCACTATGAGAATCACATGAACGCAATGCTAAATAGAGCTGATGGGATGCCTAACTCTGTTACCTCCATTAAGCCCGTTAACACCGAACCACCGCATGGGCAGGTTGTACAGACCACCCCTCACTTTTATCTGACTCCTTTTACTTGGCTTCACTATGAACTTGGCACCTTTGTCCAGATAGGCAAGTTCGTATTCATCGACTAATCAATCCAAATGCCGTCGATTTCATCCGTCGAAGCCGTCTTGTCTGCTGCCGAGAAGGATAGCTCCAAACTTCTTGGCCTGGCATTCGGCGAGCAACGCATCACGACGCCTGGCCAATACCTTCCTAGAAGTGGTTAGTAGATCGAAGAAAACGGTACTTCGATTACTGATACTTGAACTCTGCATCTAGATGCACAGAAAGAGCCCCAGATTTCCTTCAATGTATCATCTGGCACCTATATTGTCATCAGTCTGGACCTCGATGCTCCATTTCCATCGCTCGGCTTCCTAGGACCCATCCTACACTGGATTCATCCGGGTTTTAAGCCGTCGACGAATACCACTGTCACGGGGGAGACCATCTTGACAACATCTGCCCCTTTTGTTGCGAACTATATCGGCCCTGCGCCTCCACCGGGCAGCGCGCCGCACCGGTATGTTTTCCTGCTGTACGAGCAGCCAGACGGCTTCGACATCGAGAGGCATGCTTCAAAGAACGGGAAGCCCGTTGGTAACTGGCAGAGGATAAGGTATGATCTGGATGCATTCGCGAAGGAAGTGGACCTCGGACCAGTTCTGGCGGCGAACTATTTCCGCAGCAACTGAGATTGGATCATTTTGATTGATGCAGAACTGAGATAATCATAATATTTATTACCGTAGATAGTTCCCAGGCTGTCAGTCATCAAACTTGCAGAGTACATGCACTGTAGAAACGGTCTGAACTTGCCGGATCTCATTGGTCGTGACTGAAATGATCACGTGCCTTGTTCCTGGCTTCCCCGAACTTTTTTTCGGAGCAGAAAAAAGATCGCGACGCTGAGAGTAGCAGCAGCATCAGCACTCCCCAGTTCCCCGTGGTGGTGGTTGACAATCATGCGGTGTCCTTCTCTTGCACGGTTACCTCACCGTGCCCTATCAGGTTTGACCAGATCGCCTGTGCGTCTTCAATCTCAGAATTTCTTGTATCAACGATGCGCGTCGACGGCCGCTCTCCGTTCACCCATTGCCGGCCCGGTTTATCAGTCGGCTTTCAACAGACACAATTTGCAACGACGGAATGCCTCCGCTGCTACTGCTGCCGCTGTGTGAGTAATTCCGATCTTCTAGTGATCATTGAGTCTCCCCTGGGGTTGCTAGATTTATCTTGTGCTCTGTATGTTCAATCGCTAATCTCGTTCTTCTCAGTCTCGAGGCCGCCGCTTCCAATCCCGACGGTCTGTCTCAGGAGGCAATCATTGACAACCTTGACCCTGCCGAAGCGATCAGACTGTCCAGGCTCCGGAACATTGGTATCGCTGTAAGTCATGTCCCGGGAAATCCAAGCATTTCCGCGGAGACACAGCATCTGACTAGTCCTTTATAGGCACACATTGACAGCGGAAAAACCACCTGTACCGAACGAGTCCTCTTCTACACTGGTCGTATCAAGGCTATCCACGAAGTTCGCGGCCGTGACAATGTTGGTGCCAAGATGGACTCGATGGATCTCGAGCGTGAAAAGGGTATCACTATCCAATCCGCAGCGACGTTCTGTGACTGGGTAAAGAAGGGAGGCGATGGAAAAGAAGAGAAATACCACATCAACCTGATCGATACACCAGGACACATCGACTTCACTATCGAAGTGGAGAGAGCGCTGCGCGTTCTTGATGGTGCTGTCATGATCCTGTGTGCTGTGTCGGGTGTCCAGTCCCAGACTATCACGGTCGACCGTCAGATGCGCCGCTACAACGTTCCTCGGATTTCCTTCGTCAACAAAATGGACCGTATGGGAGCCAACCCTTTCAAGGCTGTTGAACAGATTAACACCAAGCTCAAGATCCCTGCTGCTGCCGTTCAAGTGCCAATTGGTGCTGAAGACGAGTTCGAGGGTGTGGTCGACCTGATTCGTATGAAGTCCATTTACAACGAAGGACCGAGCGGTGAGAATATCGTGATCAAGGATGAGATTCCTGAGAAGGTCAAGTCAGTTGTGGAGGAACGAAGAAGAATGCTCATTGAGACGCTTGCCGATGTCGACGACGAGATGGCTGAGCTCTTCCTGGAGGAGACTGAGCCTACGGAGCATCAGCTCAAGGCCGCCATTCGCCGAGCAACCATTGGCTTGAAGTTCACTCCCGTCTTCATGGGTTCTGCACTGGCCAACAAATCTGTGCAGCCTATGCTTGATGGTGTCATCGACTACCTTCCCAACCCATCCGAAGTCGAAAACCTCGCTCTTGACCGGAAGCGCGATGAGGCTTCCGTAAAGCTTGTCCCCTACAACTCCCAGCCTTTTGTTGGTCTTGCTTTCAAGCTGGAAGAAAGCAATTTTGGGCAGTTGACCTACATCCGCGTGTATCAGGGTACTCTACGCAAGGGTGCCAACGTCTTCAATGCTCGCAACAACAAGAAGGTCAAGGTTCCTCGCATTGTTCGCATGCACTCCAATGAGATGGAGGAGGTATCGGAGATCGGAGCCGGTGAGATCTGCGCCGTGTTCGGCGTAGATTGCGCCTCTGGCGACACTTTCACCGATGGACAGCTTGGTTACACCATGACTTCCATGTTCGTGCCCGAACCTGTCATCTCGCTTTCTATCAAGCCCAAGAACAACAAGGACTCCGCCAACTTCTCCAAAGCTATGGCTCGTTTCCAGAGAGAAGATCCCACCTTCCGGGTGTCTTACAATGCGGAGAGTGAGGAGACTCTGATTTCTGGTATGGGAGAACTGCACCTTGACATCTACATCGAACGTATGCGTCGTGAATACCGCGTCGACTGTGTGACTGGCCCGCCTCAGGTCGCGTACCGCGAGACCATTGGCAACCGAGTCGAGTTCGACCACTTGCTCAAGAAACAATCGGGAGGTCCCGGTGAATATGCCCGCGTCGTCGGCTGGATGGAGCCCACCGGCAAACTTGAGGACAACAAATTCGAGGAACAGATTGTTGGTGGAAGTATCTCCGAGAAGTTCCTTTTCGCTTGTGAGAAGGGTTTCAACCTTGCTTGCGAAAAGGGTCCGCTCATTGGTCACAAGGTGCTTGGTACCAGGATGGTGATCAACGATGGTGCTACCCACATGACAGATTCATCCGAAATGTCATTCAAGAACGCTACTCAGCAGGCTTTCCGCAAGGCCTTTATGGAAAGCAACCCCTCTGTCCTTGAGCCCATGATGAAGATCGTTGTCACCGCTCCTGGTGAGTTCCAAGGTGACGTTATCTCTCTCCTCAACAAGCGTAATGCCACGATCAATGATACAGAGACTGGTGTGGATGAGTTCACCGTGTATGCTGACTGCAGCTTGAACGGAATGTTCGGCTTCAGTACGCATCTGCGTGCTGCCACCCAGGGCAAGGGTGAATTTACCATGGAGTTCAGCCACTACGAGAAGGCTCAACCTCAATTACAGTATGTGCAATCTTTCACACCTGATTGCCAGCGTGCCGATTTGAACAATCACTAATCACTGACAACTTCTTACAGGAAGGAACTCATCCAGAAGTATCTGAAGGCTCAGGCTGACAGGCACAAGAAATAAACGTTATGGCTGTCGTCTCTTCTCGTTGCGCAGTCATTCTGATTGCAGACCTTGGTCGTTTCATACATATCCCTGGACAGTCTTTTACGAATCTTCTTCTGCTCAAGATGAAGCTCATACATACCCCTCGAGCATCTTGGCATTCTATAACTACTACGACAGCGATCTGCTTCTCTCCACGTGTATTCTCATCTCATGTCCTCTTCACCTTTGTGCCCAAAGCATTTGGAGCCATGTATTACTTTGCAATATAGACAAACCCTGTGGGTCTTATGAGAGATTCTCTTTGTTGGCTTTTGACAATATACCTTGTTATAGCAGCTGGGAAAAGTGAATGTAAGATAATTTGCATTTTCAATGTGCGTTCTTCCACCCATGTCGTCTCTCAAGCGATTTAGCGTCTCAGGCTTCCAGAACATCCACTGGATAGCTGGGCGGCGTGCTGCCTCAATTCGAATTATGGCTCTTAATGAGATCAACGTCGCGAAGATAGTCAAACTTTGGAGGTGGATCCCTCTCCTGCTTGCAGGCCCAGACGAACTCCTTCCAGTCTGCTGAAGACCATACCGGTAGGGAGCGGAAACGGCAGGTGGGCGTGTTGTGTCCTGCGTCCTCACGCTAATTGTGGCTGAGATGGCGCTCGGCTCCGGTGCCTCAGGCGCTGGTCCTTCTCCTGGCGGGACGAGCCCTTGTGCATGGCGTTTGAGGAGCTCCTGACGGCTGCGAAGGGTCGCCCAGTTCGTCTCAATCGTATCTTTGACCCAGAAATGCAGATCCCGGGTCCACAGCATATCGGAGAACGCTGGGTCAGCGATGGCCGACTGGATCTGCGGAGTGAGGCCGACCCGCGCCATTGCTTCTTGGATGTCCATGTCACCGTAAGAGTCGGTTTTCAGGACTGCAATGTGTGCCCATGCATAATCCAGAAGATGGCCAGGGCACTGATCAGGATCGGGCCGGTTAGCGTAGCGCTGGAAGATCTGGCTGGCCGTTGACGGCTCAACCCGAGGTATTCTAGCACAGCGGCGCTCTCTTCCTCAATTGGAATGTTCATGGAGATGGTGCTGGGCCGACTCCGCGTTCGAACCGACGCTGGGGACGACGATGGGCTGGAGATGCTTGAGGGTGAACTCATGACTCGAGCGAATAAGCAGGCGATGTTTCTCTGGAGGACGCAAAGAGTAGGAATGTAGAGAGTAGAGTATAGGGAGATAGGATAAAGAGGAGACTGAGGAGCTGGGAGACGAAATCGAGAAGATTCTCGTAGGCGAGGTGATAGCAGGGTCTGTATGACGATAGTAAGAAAGTCGGTTCCTAGGTATCTATGACTCTGTCCCAGAGGTAAACTAAACCTACCTTCCTAGGCTACCAACAACTGGGGGCCCATGGAAGAAGTGAATGAAAAAAGGGATAGGAGTAGGGGTGATATTCACTGACAAATGACGCGAAGATTTTGGGATTAAAAACTCTAGCAGCAAGATATTTCTAAGCACAAGTAGGTTATGGGTTCTTGTATGTATTCCTGGACGTCTCTCCCTTCCAATGGTCAGACGAAAAAACAAGTATCATGCTCTTACTGATCGCGGTAGATGAATGGGTATATATTGGGACGGATTACAGAAGTTGCCTGTCAAGCTATTTCCCGGAATCGTAGGGGAAGATCAAGGAGTATATTTACTCCTCAAAAGCTCTGAGCGCAGCAAGCGCAGCAACAGAGAAAGTAGCCACACGGTTATGACCTAGAACATATTAGTTCTGTCTCTCCCTGCGCAAAGAACGTTGAAGGAGTTTGCAACATACCACCGTAGCCTACACGTTCCCATCGAACCTTCTTCACGCCGTTCTTCCCGGACCTGTTCTCCCAGACCTTCACCTCGGTTGGGCCACCCTCTTCCTTTTTCTGGTACACAAGAGCGCCAGGGGCATCTTTCTGGTTTTCACCAGTGGCAGCAATCCAGACACTACGTCCTTCGTACCAGGGAATTTCGACATCATTGAACGCATGAACGATTGCGAGATCCAAGTCTTTGCTGGCGTACCCTGCCTTCGCGTCTTCCTCAGCCGATGGTGCGACGCCCGTCAGGCGTGCGAGGCGAGCGGCCGTGTCCCAATGGTCGACGATATGGCTCCTTACCCATCTTTGTACGCGAGGGTAGCCAATCAAGGGAGAGAGCATCGGGGGCGTAAGACCTTTGAAGCTGTAGGATTCGATAAGGTTTCGCAGGTTGCTGAATGATGCGAGGAGGATTACACCTGCGAACGGTTCGGGGTCTTTGATGGCGGGTTGGACAGCTGCGGGATCTGGCGAACCAAATGCATAGCGCTCAGCGACTGCGGCGCTGACAGCTGTTCCCAGGCTCTGTCCCGTGATGACAATCCTGGATGGCGGGATGTTCAAAGGGCCGGCGGTCAGGAAATTGATAAGGGAGACACCGTCCGTAATTAAGCCTTCTTCGGTCGGGGAGCCGGTGGACACTCCGAACCCACGATAGTCAATTGCGAAGACATGGACAGGGTTGGAGGGCGTTGACAAGCCCAGAAGCATGCGATAGATTTCAGGTCTCTGAGCGGAGCCGAGATGCGCGGCATTGCCGTGGACTGCAGTTGAACAAAGATTAGTTAGTGTGCATCTTTCGATTTGTGTTGCAAGGCGAAGAAAACAATGCGCTTACAGTTGACAACTACTCGAGCGTTAGGGTCGTTGGCTAGAAATTTGAAAGCCGAGGTTCGGGTATAGTCTTCAGCTGGTCCAGATGGCTCGTTTGCATTCAGTTCCTCTTCGTGCTCATGGCAGAGGTGCAGAGGGAGTAAATGCCAGCCATAGATTGTCTCATTATCGGGGGTAACCAGATTGAATGGTTGGACCTGCGTTTCTGGCCAAGTCAACAACGACCACTTCATGGATAGCTAGGCGTTTCCACATACTCAGGAATCCGAAGCGCTCGACCTGGTTGACATCCTCCCACAGAGCAGGATTGACTTTGTTCGCATACAGGGCGCTATGCGCATGGCGCCAGAATTGTTAGTCGCGTTCTTCGAAATATGGATAAGCAAAGCATACAATCTTTGGACATTGGGCCATGTGAGCGCGCAGATGAAGCTCACATAAACCAGGCCTCCAGCGGCCAGCGTCCAGTAGGCCTTTTTGAAGATCGGTTGTAACTCAACCATTGTGAAGTGGGATCCGATAGCCAAATACCAAATCCTATGAGCACGCAAGCATATCTCTCAATATGAGCTTCCGAAAGAAGAGAGCAAAGTACGGAATATGCGAGCGATGCTCTAAAAGATAGGAAGCGTACCTCGGAGATTCACTAGATAAGTCGGAAAGATAAGGATTTGATGAGGAGAAATATTATCAGAAGATCATCAGGGTAGATCAATGACCATGTTCATGTTTAAAAGTCACTGTGAAACATCCGTACAACGAGAGAGAAGCAGTATAGAATGATTGGAGTAGTGACACCCAGCACTGGCAGTAATCTTAGAAAGCGGCGTGATTTCATCGCTCGTGGATTCTCCGCGTTCCTTTTCTTTCTCCGCAACCCACCCTCGCTTCTTTCATCTCTTTCCCTGCAGTCACTTACAGAACTGTTGGAGATGCTTTTGATCTCCTCTAGCAAGGTTATTCCTCGACTGCCCCGTGTGTGATAGTTCAGCATGGCTGAGAAGCGCAAACTCTCCACTCGCGACCGTCGCGAGCCTTCCGCGAAAAGACGTCAATCTGAAGCCGCACCTCAATCTCAGGCTCAACAGGGCTCTTCTTCCAAGAAAAAAGGTTCTACACCGAGCGTTGCTCCCACGCCCCAGCCTCCTCCGCCTGAACCAGAGGTCATCGAGAAGCCCCTGCCGACGAAGATCAAGGATGGAGAGGCTCTCCCCACGCTGTCCGCGCCGCAGCCCGCCAACCTTTCATTCAAAGAGTACCAGTCAATCGCTGAGAGGTGCGTTCTTCGGGGTTTCATCGAATGCTACTGCCTTCGCTTTGTGCTTGCACCTATTTGAGCGCGTACTTGAACTGACGCGATTCCTTTGTCTCCCACAGTGCTGTCCTTCTCGCCTCTCTAGAACGATCGAAGAAGAAATGGCTCAGCGACGGCATTCTAGAGCGATACTACACTAAACCAAAGAAGTCCAAAAGAGAGCAGATTGAAGGCAAAAATCCCCCCAAGGAGTCCATGTTGAAAGTTGGACCTTGCAACATCGCGATTGGGCCTCACCTTTTCGATGCTATGCTGTACACCGTCAAAGATCCTAACGCGCCGCCACCGATTCAATACACTCCCCCCCAGCGGCCGATGGTTCACTATGGCCCTCCCAACAACTTCCAGCAGTACCATTCCTATCCACATCCGCCGCCATCTCAGCAGTCACGCCAGGCCGCTCATTACTCCCCCGCCCACTCGGCCTCACCACAACCAGGTTACCCCCAGGGCAGCCAACATCCGCCTCCACATCCGGCCCGAACACCCACTCATCCACCTTCTCACAATGCTCCTCGTCCCCCCTATACCCCTCAGTCAGCCCAGCGCCCGCCTGCGTCTCAGCATGCACAGCCCCCTCAACCTCCAAAGCCCAGTCCGGACCCGGTCATTCAAATGCTTGCAACGCGAGCTGCTTCGGACCCCGATCTCAAGGCGCTGATGAGAGTGGTTGCTAGCAGCAAAGCGTCTCAGGAACAACTTCGAGCGTTCCAGGCTCATATTGATGAACTGAATGCGATCATTCGTGCGAGAGAGCAACAGCAACAGCGACAGCAACAACAGCAACAAGGGCAAGCTCCAGGCAGTGCTCAATCGCAGACACCACGCCACACGCCGCAACCTGCACAGCAGGGAGTTCCACAGCGACAACCTCAGCTTTCACCGCTGCAGAATTCCCAGCAATCGCAATCAGAGCAGCCGAGTCAAAAGCAGGGCCCCTCGCAGGCCCAGCCAGGCTCGACCCCCCAACATCGGCCGCAATCACAATCACAAGCTAAACCGCAGCCACAGCCGCAGCCGATGCCAAGAGTGGAAGTTCAAATTCCCAAACCCTCACCAGCGATGAAGTCTGCAGTACAGAGTTCCAGTCAAACTCCTACCAAGCAACCTCAAACACCCACTGCTCAGAACTTTAATGCTACTCCTCAGGTCAAACAGGAGCCGGGAACGACTACGACAAGTCGACCGCCCCCTGGTGGAGTATCTAGTCCTAGTCTCGCGGTAGTCGCGCCACCTCCTCCAGGCGCAGCCTCTACTCCTCACCAGCCAAATTCAAGTCCTGCAGTACGGCCGATGAACCAGCCTCCTCCGAACCACACTCCAGCACCTCGTCCAGGTGGCCAGTATCCGCCATTCCAAGGCCAATCTCCTTCAATTCAGTCACGTCCACAGCAACACGGGTCTCCGGCCTACTATCGTCCCGCTCCTCCCCCACCTCCTCCTAGGGTGGGCTACAAGTCGGTTGTCTTTGAGTTTACCTCACCATTGACTCCCTACGGAAGTAGCACTTCGGGCCACGCAGGTTCAGGAGACCGGTATTTGTTTCCGGAGTACTCTATTCTGGAATGGCTGCCCGGCGGAAACACAGTCCTAGCGTCCTTCTTGCTCATTCGGAAGGTGGACCCCAGAACACCGTTCCCCATAGAAGATGCTTCGGTGACGACCACATCCCGAGCCAAGGGCAAGTCGACCTCCAAGTCGAAGAAAGCGGACAAGAACAAAGACAAGACAGCGGAAGACGGGGAGAGCAAAGAGAAAGACAAGAAAGAGAATGACAAGCCCGATGAGGCCGCTAAGGAGAAGGACAATGCTCAATCTTCTAGCAATCAGGATTCCGCTACAGCCGCTACTGACTCGGCCAAAGGATCAGACGATAAAGGCAACCAGAAGGCTCAAGCGGAAACTCCCAGCAAACCAGACTCCGACAAATCCAAGGAGTCAAAGGAAGATGCAAACAAGTCGAACCTTAAGGAGTACTACCAGCCCGTCACGATGCGCATCTACAGCGCCAACCCAAAGTTTCTAGAGCCTCTGGCACGGGTGGTCAAGCCACCGGACGAGGTGCGCAAGTACATGAATGAAGTCATGGACCGCGCAGAACGTGCTCCCGAGGGATTCCTCGCCTTACGTCTTCCACGCGAGAACAAGGATGAACACGAGCCCGAGGACACGAGAAAAAGTGGGACTCCTGCTCCTGCCGCAAATTTAGGCGCGCGCGGCCGGTTCCTAAAGGGTAGCGCTGCGGATGAGGAATCAGAAATCGAGAACATTAATGGACCTGTCGAGGAAGAAGAGGAAGAAGAGGAGTTGAAGGACTTTTATGGGCCCCCGACTGGTCTCACGCCTCTTAGAGTATGAAATGGAGGTTTATGGCGAGTATTCAGCTCGCGTAAATCATGTATTATATATCCTGTTTGTCGTACCTCTGTAGCATCAGAATTCATGAAACACAGAATCAATGCTCTGTCCATAGCAAGGGAGCTCTCCTCAAGTGGGCTGTTCAAGCCAGGACTCGGTATGGATCATGGATCACGCCGACAAAAATCGTTGCCCGGGAAGTGTATTAAATACTCCCACCCCTTTGTCCAGGCCTATCACCAATCAACCCAGCAGTCTCCAGAAGCCATCTCGCGCCTTCCATTGCAGAATCTCCGGCTCCGGCTTTCAGATTGAGGTTCCGTCTCCGTTCAGCCTCACGAGCTTCAAATTCCCACTTCGCCCGCTGCACCTCGACTGCACTCTGCCTCGGCTCTGCTGAGGATGCGTCAGACGGCTCAGGGACCAATCCCCAAATTTCCAGAGTGTAAATGTCTATCTGTTTTCTAACTGTTTCTTCCGACAGTGACGTAGTAGCTGGGGGGAGGAAAACGCCATTATGGCCGATGGATGAGACATAGAAAGTTGCAGACTCGAGACTCGTGTCAATGGTCAGGCTGCCTGCTCCAAGAGGCGTAGGCTTCAGCTGATGACTTCGAGATGGAGGTGGAATCTGGCATCCGATCGCTATGCCCGTACTGGTGGAGAAGTATGCTACGGGGGCGTTGGGCTTTTGCACGGAGGCTGAAGGATTCCCTGGCAAAAGCTGGTGCTTTGGCGAAAGCTCAAAGAGACAGGGTAAGCCTGAAGAGTCGGAAGGCTTCGTTGAAGAATGGGACAATGGTGCAGATTTCCACGGTTGCGGAAGGTACGTTCCCAGCGTAACCATGCCCTCTCCATGTTCGGATGATTCAGATATAGCACCCTCGAGTAGGAGTAATGTGCCAGCGTTCCATGTGAGAACGTTGTGAGAGAAAGAGGTTAATGATGAACCGTGCGCAGCTGTTGAGAAAACAGGATGCAGGCGCATGTTGCCCCAGAGTAGATTGACGTTTGAGGTAGGAGAAGGCAGGAAGAATGAAAGATGAGATATAACACTCGGCTTGAGGATGCTGGATTCAAAACTCCCAGGAAGCATAATTGTCGACGGAGAGAATAGTGCACTATCTGATGGCTTTTCAAGGGTGTCAGTTACTATTGCGTCAGATCCGCTCTTTTTGGTCATGTCCAGGTTCTTGCTGAACAGAAGATGTTCGAAAAGGGGCGTCAATGGATCAAAGAGATATGGTAAAGCGGTCGAAGTAATGTTTGCAAACGATCGGTAACTGATACCACCATCGGAGTCTTCAATATTGAAGGCTGCCAAAATGGTATCAGCCTCTTTCCGAACGCTCTCCATTCGGGCCTCGTTGAGGTCTGAGGTATACGAAGCCACTGGCTCCAAGGTCTTCAAAGGTGCGATGACAATCAAGAGCATCAGAAGACGACGGAATGTAGCGACGGATATTCGAGCTTCATAGACATTCTTATCGATGCGAGAGTCATGCTTGAACACATCAATAGCATCCAACGATTCCAACGCCGCCAGGGCAAGGTCATCATCATCATCATCCTCATCCCCGTAGTCATCGTTGGCAGGCGCATCGACCTCAAAGCCTGTTACATGCGAGTTGACAGCGGAAGAATCATCTGTCTCCTTACGTACATCCTCCGCGCCTGGAGACGCGCCGACATCACGCCTCCCAACATCAGCGAGACTTCCGAACAGAAGTTTGATGCGGTCCTTGCGCGCTCGTCGTAGAACTTTCCCATACCGTTCTGTTAGCAAGACTGCAACCTTTACCATGGCCTCGAATGTCAGAACACTCGGAG